ATTCCTGCAGATTAGTCACTAACCTAGATTCTAAAAAACAATCAATGTCCCTGACAACCCTACAATGCAGTTGTATCCTTCTGTTCTGCACTTTTTCTATTTTTCTTTTATAATCTCTTGGCGTCAGAAATCACCTATACTACCATCTACTATTACGACTACTTGAATATGATTAACCCCTCTTAAGGTCTTCGTTTTTTGTTATTTTCTTCTCTCTGCTTAGAATTTTCAATGACCGTCGGGAAGGGACTCTCGGGGTGGCGTCAGGTTTCTCCCTCCCATCCTTCACAGAGTCTTGATGTGCGCTAAAAACATTCCAAAAAAAAGTTGGCTATCTTTTTCCTCCTTTTCTGAGGGCACTTTTCATTAGTCAAGTTTTTTTTCTTACTACTTTCTTCACACCCTATCCCTCTTGTCTATGAAAAAGAACAGAGTGTGTAGGAGAACAAAAATCTCGAAACAGATACACGAAAAATTGCCATAATGAATGAGATTCTGGGGCGAAGTGCTAACGAAGAATTTCTTTTTCCTCCTCTTCTTCCCCATCTTTACTGGTATTGAGATGTATCAAAAATTCTGCACGCCAGCATCTTTTGGAGTTTGAATGCGCGATGATAGGGGATTGTTTGGAGCCACACACATTGGGCCTCAAACTTCTTTCTATCCCGGGGTGTGGAAAAGTTGAATAGAATAGGATACGTGAATTTGGTTTCCAATATGTGCTCTCTCTCTCTTTCCGATAGAAGAATTATTAATAAACCCCCACTCTCAACGCATATATTATTTTTTTTACGGGCGCCGCGCCGTTGACGCTTCACACTGCTATTGTCCTTCATATGTTCGCTTGTTCGACTAACCAGCCTGCACTTATAGTGTAGCCTGAAGACGTGGACGGGGGGACTCAATTTGGGGTTTTTCTGGATATGAAGATAGAGAAGAGAGTAATGCATACTAAACGCTACTTTGTTTCTTTTTTCATCACTCCATTGTTACTTATGACCTCAATGGGAAAGACCAAGAAGGACCTAATTTTTGTCCAAAGATCACATCTAGGGGAATTTTCCCGAGATTTTAGAAGTCATCATAACTTTTTTCTCAAGCTTCATTCCATGAAAAGTTGTGAGAACCCGATTCTCTTCTAAGGGAACAAATTTGTGTAGTTTCATTCATGTTGAGATTCCTGAGGCGCTTTTATAACCATTGTCTCTAAAAAATCTACTGAATTATTTTCCATAAAGAAAAAAGGTTCGTGAAAGTGTACTAATCATTTATAAGATATTTTTTTGGTCCACAGAGCCAGAAAATGATTTTGAACTTAATTTTCTAAAAAAAACTATGGAATGAAAAATCCTTATTTTGGTCTATCCATTCATACCAAGTATGTTTGGACCAAATAACTTTTGCACCAGTTTCAGGCGTTTCTACTTTATAAATTGAATTTTGAAAAAATCCGAAATTTTCGTAATTTTGAAAACCGGAATATTTCAAAATTCTGAAATTTCGAAAACCGGAATATATCGAAGTTCTGAAACTCCGTCTTTTTCAAATTCGGAGCATTCCGAAATTTCGAAATTCCCAAATTTTGAAAATCGGAAAATTCCGAATTTTCGAAAATCGGAAATTTTGAAAATCAGAATTTTTGACATTCCGCAAAAACTCTGAACCATTCAGAACATTTCTACATACACACCATCTTTATCACAAATCGTAGTTTCTGAGTTGAACAGGTTTAAAATTAGATAATGACGCACTGATAATACTGTTCTATCGTCATACTACTTTTTAGATAAAGATTCTGAAATTTTCCACCAAATATATTATTTTTCTTCCTGAAGTATGTGATTTTTCTGTCCCAAGACGAAAAATGTAGTCCCTCCTCCAGACAACATGTTCGAAATGTATTTCTAGCATTTGTCACTGGATATCTCTCATCTGTCTGGTACATAAATTCCCATTCAACTTGGAGATTTCTGATTTCCTGAGATTCTCCATCATTTTGTGTTGGATTCCTCTTATTTTCTATTTTATCTGTCGCTCTGTATGACTGACACGTTCCATTTATAGTTACTATTGTCACACATCACTCGTTCAAAAGATGGCATTTTCTGTTTTTTGATTTTTTTTGAAAAAAAAACCAATTCTTATTCTTTCTATAGTCTAGAAGACTGCTAGTTGGCTTAACTTAGTTAACACCCAGAAAACTTTTTTTCTTCTTTTTTTTTCAAAAAAAAAAATCATTTTCCATTTCTAGACCACAAAGCACAGAAAAGCTCTGTAGTTTTTATGTGTCCATTTTTCTAGGATTCTCCTATTTTCCATTCAACCTCTTCCTCAACCTGTCAAAAAGCCAAGTGTCGGAAGGAGGGAAGGGGGGATGAAGGGGGGATCGTATTGCAATGAGTTGAGAAAAGAAAAAGAAGAGATGAGAGAATGAGAAACGAGGGAGAAGAAGTGTGAACCGAAACGTTCTAACGTACTTGACACGTTTACTTGTTATTTCTAAATTTTCACCAAACACAAACCCCTATCCGTTTTCCCGGGGAAGGGGGGACATCCGTTATCATCATATCCCGGAATTACACTGATTCGGTGCAGGTAAGGAGTTATAGATCAAAAGAGGGAAAAAGCGAACGTGTATTTTTTGAAGGTAGCATACATGACCGTGATTCAGAAATTCTGAATGCCATATTTGGAGTGATTATGTATTCAGGAGTGAAAGAAGATGTCCAAACAGAATATTGATAACGGAGAAGAGAAAAAAACCCACCCAGGATCTCTCTGAAATCTTTGAAATTTTGTTTCTACTGATTTTTATGAACTTTATGAAAATTATGTCTTGTTAGTTCTAGTTTATTCATCCAAAAACGAGGAGAGACTGTACCGGTCAATGAGATATACAAAAATGTGTTTTTCAATTAATTTTGATATATTTTTACCATTTTCAGGGGCCTAGAGCTAAAAGCTCCAATTGTAAAAGCTCCAATCAGTTTCAATTTTTTGAAGGGTGTAAAACATACCTAGATGCAGAAATTTTTATTTACAAAATTTTTTTGAAGTTTCTAGTTTTTCAGCAGTTAGCCGTTTTAGTAAGAAACCCTTTTTTTGACCGGTTTTCATTCTTAAATCGTGTATTTTACGATTTTTATTCTTAAAACAGGCCAAAAATGAGTGTTTTTCGAAAATCTTCTAATAACTGAAAAACTACGAATTTTCAAAACATTCTTTAAATGCAAAATTTTTAGTTTAGGCCTGTTTTACACCCTTCAAAATTTTCAAAGTGATCCGAAACTTGACAGCCAAGCTGAAAAGTTTCAAAAATGCCAAAAAACCACTGAAAAATATGTTTCTATGTATCTTATCAACCGGTACTGGTGATTAGGGAAAATGAACTTTTGCTATTTTTGGAGAAAAAAATCCTGTCCTCAAGTTTATTCAACATTCTAATGACATTATTTTGTTCTCAATTTCTGGGCAACACAAAATTCTAGCACATAATGTTTATACAATTCCAGCGCCATCCTCATAATCCTTGTTTTTTTTCGAAGCGGAAGTTTTTGTCTTAGAACCAATTCTAGAACTTTGTCAATTTTTGAAAACACAATTCCGGTAGATGCACTGACAAAGTTCTTAAGCGTTCCGGTGTCGTTCTTGATTCCTTCCTAGACATCCAGAAATATTTTTTTGGAATGTAGAATTTTATAATCGAATATCAGCGCATATCAGTGGAAAATAGAGGAAATTGCAATTCTGACACTAAACCACTCTTCCCATTCATTCACTTCTCTTCTTCCCCCCTCCAATTTTTTGTGCTCCTGTTCATCATCACTTGCCTCTTCTGGATTCTGAATCCAGTCGACCGTGATCAAATCATTTTTTTGGAGAAGTCTTTTTCTCCAAAAAAATTGCTTCGGACATACTAGTTTAATCAATTGTTGTTCGAAACAAAAGAAACTCCATCATGTATTATTCCAATATTGTAACTTCTGCAAATAATCTAAATTTAATTGATACTTCAAACACCAAATTCAAGGTGGGCGCCTTTCTCTCCTCGTTTTCCAAAAAAAGAAATTGACCTTTTCTAAATTTGGAAAACTCGAAAAAAAAACTCGAGTGATGTCAATGGTTGAAATCTGGTGAATAATAAATGGAGAATCAAAAAAAATATAGTAGGATAAAATAGAAATCCAATTTTTCTTGATTCCCAGCTATAAATTTTCACATAAAAAAACTATTTTCTAATGGAATAAATGTCGAATTGAATAAAGAATATGTGTCCCACATCCGGTTCGTAATGTATCAGCTAATACGATAGGAACTGAACTCTTTATCCATGTTCTCGGCAAGTTTTTATTTTTGTCGCCGAGCATCAAGAGCCAACCATGACAATTCTAATGATTTTAATTTGTACACACATTATTAACAACAACATCGAAAACCAGAAAATTTCTAGAAAACTAGAAAACAACATAACAATTAGCTAGTATTACGTTGCTCTTCTGGGAAATAGCTACAGTTTTTTTTTTTGAAAAATGTTTTAGGGACAAAATCAACTTTTATAAATACCCTCTCAATTTGCTCTCCTTTCTGTAACTTCTGATCTGAACAAGGAAGAAGAAAGTTCAGACAACTTAGAAGGTCCGTGAGCCGTCAAATTAGTGCGCCCGCAACATTCTGAGGAAAAGAAAACTTTTTAGAGATAAAATTAGGGAAGTGGGGATTAGGGGTGCTCTCTGTTCTTTTCTCTTATGGGTTTTTACTCAGAAAAACCAAAAAGATTATTCTCATTATAATAAATGATTGATTCTAACTCATTTATTTAACTCAAAGATGATTGAATAGGCACCATTTATCAAAATGGGGTTTCGGTATAAAACCAAGGCATTGAGAGTGCTGATGAGCAGCCCACAAAAAAAGAATAACGCCCCAGAAACTCTTCCAACACAATACTCCCACTCACTCTCCCTTTTTGCCCATTCTACTCAACTTGTCTGATTCAGGAAATGGTGTTACGAGCCATCGACTCAATTCGAGATAGTGTTATAAACGCGTCATCGGCAGTGAGCACAACGACAGTGCCGCCACTGGACATTCCCATGACCTCTATGAAACCGCCATCAATTATTCCCACTGTCGAGTTGGTTCTAGGAACGATTACGTATTTGGTGAGTCCGTTTATTCATTCTTTCTGGGACTCCCTCTCTCTCTCTCTCTCTCTCTCTCTCAAAAAATGCACATTCGCGGCTAGGTTGTTCATCGAAAACGTCGACTTGACGCTGAAAAAAACCAGAAGCATCCGTCTTTTTCCATGTGATTATTCATGCTTTGTCTTTGACTGACGAAGACGTGACAGGCTAAGAATGCCTTTTCTGGATTGTTGAACAATTTCGACTCTAGAAGTTTAGTGAAAAATGTGGACTCGGTTGAATGTGAAATTTTCGGAAAAAAAGAAAGGACAGGGAAGTGAAAGAAGGATGGCGGAGTGGGGCTACTGTAGAAATGCCAAATTGAAATTATGCATTTTATGAAGATAAAAATTGAATTGTGGAGAAATATAATTCGACAAAATAGGAAGTCCTGAAAAAATTGGTCAGAAAGACAAAAAAGCACCTAAAATTGGAAGAACTATAATTTGAATTTTTAAAACCGTAAATTTCTAGAAACCAGAAGTACTTTAGAAAAATTGAATTTTCAAACTTTTTTGAATGAACTTTGAAAAATAAAAATTGAACACATAGTTCAGAAACGTAATGTTCTGGAAATTGTTCAGAATACCAAAAACCACTGAAATTGCAAAAACTGAAAAAAAAACGTTCATATCTGAATTGTTATAATAACCAATGCATTGTCAAAATTTTCCAGTAAAACCCTAAAGATACCGTACACACTCTAATAAATCTTTTATTTTTCCATTTTGAGCTCAATTATCTTATTTCCTGTTAGATATATCAAAAAGTGGTCAACTGACGAAATACTATTAATATTATGGTGAACATTTTATCAGTTGAAAATTTTTTGATATCTTCCACTAGAATCAAAATGAATTGCCTCAAAGTTGAAATTCAAGTAGTCATTAAATAGTATTTGCGGTTCTCTTAGAAAAACTGTGAAATTGGTTCTTAAATCTTATTTTACAAATTCGTTGCGCGAATTTTTAGAAATATAAAAAATTTTCCTTCAAAGTTTTTCAATAAAAACCATGAGATACCGTGAACCATAAACACTCTAATAGAAGGTCACTCTACACATGCACGTTAAACTCAGTTTATCTCGGTTACTGTAAGAGATATCAAAACGGGATTTTTTGATAAGAATTTTCCCAATTATCATAAATATTTCATCAGTTGACAACATTTTGATATCTTTCACAGGAACGGAGATATTTGAGCTCAAAGTGCGCGTAAAGCGTGGACCTGTATTAGGGAAAATACGGAAGTCTGTACTCAAATTTTTACCATAAAATTCCTTGATGATTTCATATGGTAGATTGGATTACTGTATTTTTTTCCTTTTCCAGGTCATCATCGCCATGACAGTCGTCGGTAATACACTGGTCGTTGTCGCCGTGTTCAGTTATCGACCTTTGAAAAAGGTGCAAAACTATTTCTCGTCTCGTTGGCTGCTTCCGATCTTGCAGTCGCCATATTCGTCATGCCTCTACATGTAGTCACTTTCCTAGCGGGTCAGTTTTCCAACTCTTTTTTTCCTTTCCTTTCCTTTTCTTTTCTTCTGCTATTCAGTTTATTTTTTGGCTGTCATCACTTATATGATACTAGGGGCCGGGAAGCGCGATTTGACAACCGGATGCCCGCTGCCAAAGCTTCGTCATTTGGGTTATTCGGGGGTGCAACAAGAGATGAAGGAATTGGAATTTCTTTAGACAAAATGAGGGGAGAGAAAGAGACTTGTGATTGCGTGAGTACTCTGCGAGCAATTGTGTGTTGAGTACCAAGGACTTGAGGGCCGAGAAATGTTTTTTCTTACTAGTTTTTTTTCGGGAAAGGACAAGGAGGAGCTCATTAAGTTAATGATCATCGTCTTCTTGAGACAAGGGAGGTGCTCATCGGGAATATAGAAAACTAGACAGTTGTCACCTGAGAGAAGGGGTTGTAAAATATTTTTAATGACATATGAACAAGATAAATGATGGATTGCGGTTGTAGAGCAGTGATTTGATGACATCCTGATGTTAAATTATTAAAAGTTTATTACATTTTCAAAAATATGATTTTTAAAAAGGGGATGTTCGGAACGGAACTTGGGATTCAGAAATTTCCGACCGGAAGAATTCCGGAAAAAAATTGGAATGAAATTCCGGTCTGAATATATTGGAAATTTTAAAAATCTGAATAATCCGAAATTCCGACTATCGGAATTTTTCGAAGTCCGAAAATTCGCAAGTCGGAATATTCCGAAATTCTGAAAATCCGGAAATTTGAAAATCGGGATATTCCAACATTTCGCAAAATCGAAATTCGGAATATTCCGAATTTCCAAAAATTTGAAAATCGGAATATTCCGAAATTCCGAAAATATGAAAGTTGGTCTTTTCCGATATACCGAAGTTTCAAAATTTTGAGAATCGGAATATTCCGAGATTTTGAAATTTTTAATTTTTAAAAATCCAAATATTCCAAAATTCCGAAATTTTGAAAATCTGAATATTCCGACATTTCGAGAATCGGAATATCCCGAAATTCCGAAACTTCGAAAATCGGATTATTCCGGAACTCAGAAAGTTCGAAAATCTGTATTTTCCGGAAAATTGAAAAAAAAATCGGATGAATACTAAATCCCGAACTTCCGAAACCTTTAATGCAGCCAGAAACTTAAACTTTTCAGGTGGAAAATGGTTGTTGGGTGTTACAGTATGTCAATTCTTCACGACTGCTGACATTCTTCTCTGCACATCTTCCATTCTTAATCTTTGTGCAATTGCTATAGATCGGTATAAATCTCAAATTCAATTATTATGCAAGATACCAAGTCATTTTCAGATATTGGGCCATTCACAATCCAATCAACTATGCACAAAAACGTACAACCAAATTTGTGTGCATGGTCATTGCAATCGTATGTTTTTTTTGGGAAATGTACTAGTCATGACTAAGGGAAAAAGAAGAAGATTACCTTCATTTGTTATGGAAATGTAGAAGGAGACGAGGAAAAAGAATGAAGGCAATTGTGTGTATTTTCTAGGGAATCTTTTCTAGTGAATCAACATTTAGCGGAATCAGTCTTAAATACTTACTTGAAAAAAATGGAAAAAGGGATTTTACATTTTTCAGGTATGGGTCCTCTCCATGTTGATATCAGTGCCACCAATCATTGGCTGGAATAACTGGCAAGAGAATATGATGGAAGATAGCTGTGGATTGTCCACAGAGAAGTACAACTCAAAATTATTTTACCATTAACATGATTGTATTCCAGAGCATTTGTGGTTTTCTCAGCAGCCGGCTCATTCTTTCTTCCACTTTTGGTTATGGTTGTTGTATATGTCAAAATTTTCATCAGCGCTCGCCAAAGAATCCGTACTAACCGAGGTTTGTGTAGGCGGATGAAAAACACAAAAAAGTGAAACCTAGAGTTAATCGAGTTTACACCATTGTTGCCAAAACTTTTTGCAGTCATGGACTCTTTTTGTTCTTTTTCTTTTTTGTTCTTTTTCACTGAACAAAGTACATCTAATAATAAAATGAAATGACAATGTGAAGAAGAGGTTGAAATATAAAAGATCGGAATTTTCCCTGATCTTTGTCCTTGTTTCAGTGTTCCAATAGAGTTCAAATTTTCTTTCTTTACAGGCCGCAGTGCACTGATGAGAATCCAAAATGCCGAGGGCGACGACGACTACAGGAAGATGTCAATCAAAAGGGCATCTGTAGAATCAGCTAGAACGTCGAGCAGGGTAGGAGAGAAAACTCCGTTGGTGGTTGCTGACGGACAAACGACTGTAACTACTCTTGCCGCTCAATCCGTTAGTGAAACTGGAATGGTGATACATGTCCTTGTCCGGTCCTTTATGTTGCATCATTGAGTTATTGGGCACATGATATTTAGCAAGCACTGCTTCTAACTCTAAACGCTTCATTTAAGTTTTTTTGGTGCATGGAAATTAGTATCACTAACTTCCGATTTTTCAGTTTTTGGATGGAAATGCAAAAACCGAAATTTTTGAAAAATCCCGAAATTTCTGAATTCTTGGAATTAAATTCCGATCGGACTATTTCCGAAGACTTTTTTGGAATGTTTTTCCTAATTTTTTTTGTGGAACTTATTTCTTCGGAATTAGAATTTTTGGACTACGGTATGTCGAAGGCGCACGCAAAAAATTGCTTGTGGTCTTGAGCGGAATTATTTGTAATATTTTTTGTTTTCAAAGTCCATTTTTCCTCGATTCTCGACGTTTTTGTGATGGGAAAATGAAATTTCTTTTATAAAATTTCCTTTCTTAAAACTTCCGATGATTCGAAAATTTCAAATATTCAAAAATCAGAATATTCCAAAACCCCGAATTTTTAAAATCGGAATATTCGGAAATATCGAATTTTTCAAAATCGGAATATTCCGAAACTCCGAATTTTTCAAAATCGGAATATTCCGAGATTCCGAAGTTTTGGAAATCAGTATATTCCAGAATTCTGAAATTCCGGAATTTTGAAAATCGGTATATTCCAAAATTCTGGAATTTCAAACATCGGAATATCCCAAAATTCCGATATTTTGAAAATTGGAACGTTGACATTCCGAACGATTCCAAAAGACCATTTCGAACATTCCTGTTTGTTATTTGGCAGTTACAATTAACTGACTTGAAAATTTTCTATGATTTATGCTCAAATTTCACGTTTATCACTAGAATCTGCGTCACAAATTGATTTTTCTCAATTTTCTTCAGTTAAATTCCATTTTACTGGCGATATATCGCTGAAAAAAAAATGCTTGCTTGAAGCAAAATTTCCGTTATCTAACATGATTGGGCAACACAATCAGTTACAGTATGATTTGTACCGTTACTAACCTTCGAACCAACAAGCTTATTAAACGTTTTTTGTTCCTCATGTTTATGTGATTCGTTTTAGACCGATGGTGGTAGCTTGCCGAAAGACGAAACAACGAAACACATGAAGTACCACAATAATGGATCGTGCAAGGTGAAAGTGAAAGAGACGAAGGAAGATGAAGAAGTAATCGTTTTTTATTTGGAAATTTTCTTCGCTTACTATGTTATTGGGATCAGTTTCTGGGGATTTTTTGTTAAAGGGGGACTCCGACCAGAAATTTTTATTGCATTAAAATGTGTTAAAATTTACCTGTTTTTCAAATATTATTGCGAGAAAATTCAAAGAAAATCCGAAATCCCCGAAAAACGGCGTTGAAAAGGAAGAAAATTCAAAAAAAAGTGTTGCCGGGGGACGAAGATTTTCAGTGAGAAACCTAGGCCACGGCACCTGACAGCCTTTTTTCCAAGTCGCCGACAGTGGTTTTTTACGTTTTTTACCTGCCGGACATGAAATTGAAAAAAATCCGGAAAATTTGCCACACAGGAAAGGCGCCCGCTGCCGTGGCCTAGGTTTCTCACTGAAAATCCTCGTCCCCCGGCGGCACCTTTTTTTTGAATTTTCTTCCTTTTCAACGGCGTTTTTTGGGAATTTCGGATTTTTTTTGAATTTTTTCGCAATAATATTCGGAAAATAGATAACTTTTAACACATTTTAATGCAATAAAAATTTTTGGTGGAGTCCCCCTATAATGATTCAAACGAAAAATTAAAATTATTTATTCCAGAATCCAACTGCAGTGCTACGAAAACGCGAGAAGATTAGTGTTGCTAAAGAGAAACGAGCAGCAAAAACAATTGCAGTTATTATTTTTGTTTTCTCGTTCTGTTGGCTACCATTTTTCGTTGCCTATGTGATTCGACCATTCTGTGAAACTTGCAAGCTTCATGCAAAGGTATTTTAGGGCTCCAGAGATTAAATAAAATTCATGAAATTTAGGTTGAGCAAGCGTTCACATGGCTAGGCTACATCAATTCTTCCCTAAACCCATTCCTTTATGGTATTCTGAATTTGGAGTTTCGAAGAGCATTCAAGAAGATTCTCTGCCCAAAAGCTGTTCTGGAACAACGCAGGCGGCGTATGAGTGCTCAACCATAAATTTTTTGTTAACAATTTTTTTGAAAATTTCACCTGATCTGGTATCATTGGAAGCTCACTAATCTCATTAATTTATCTGGGGATTTCAATTTTTTTTTGTTTTTTGAGAACAAATTCGAAAGTTTGTTTTTGATTAAAAGATCTCGCTCGGTTAGTTTTGTGAACCAAACCAATCATTTGTACTCTCTCCAAACTTTGTTCACTGGTTTAGCTTTTTCCTGGGAAATGTTTTCGTTTTCAAAATAAATTTATTTTGTTTTAAAGAATTTTTAGTACAGACATACAGTACCGGTCAACCAGACATACTAAAACAAATTTTCAAGTTTATTGTTTGGTCGGCAGTGAAGTTTACAATGATTTTGAAAGTTTTGGAGAATGTGAAACAGATCTAAATTGAAAATTGCGCATTTATAGAATTTTTCAAAAATTATTAGTTTTTCAGCTATTTGACGGTCTCTGAAAGACACTTTTTCACGTATATACTTCAAAATAGACCAAAAAGGGGTGTGTTTCGAATGATTTCAAAAACAAAAAAGAAAAAACTAAAAGATGTGGAAAAGATTTAACACGTTACAGCCAAGCTCAAGGCTTCTGAAAATGGTGCAATCAACTGAAAAATCGGGTTTTCGTATACGTTATTGACCGGCATTGTATATAGATCATCAAACCACGGGTTTGTACTCGATTCCATTTGTTTTTTGGTTGTAATAACATAAAAACACCAAAGAAACAAACCATGTGGCATTGTTTCGAGAAACCAGTTCAAGGCCTATTTTTGGCTTTATTTAAGATGAAATCATTGCAAAGTGTACAGACATATTACAGTTTGAAACACAAAATACGCAGTTAAAAAATATAAATTTCGTTTTAGTGTACCAACTTTAGATTACGTCTACGGTTCAGTCGTTGAACAAACGTCATCAGTTCATTTTTGACATTAGCAGGGACAACAATATGACTGATGTCATCTGAAAAAAACATTATTACAGGTTTTGAGATGCAATGTTCTTACCTCTTTGAACACTTAATTTTCGTAATGCATCCTTTGCGCTGAAGCTCAAGTGTCTCATCTCCTGTTCTCGAGCCTTAAATTACACATGCAAAAGAATTTTCGCTGAATAATGTACAGTACCAGTCGATAAGATATGCAAAAACGTATTTTTAGGTTGGTTTTGGCCATTTTCAGGTGTCTGGAGTTTGGCTCTCAAGTTTCCAATCAATTGAAAAAAAATTTTGGAGGGTGTAACAGATCTAGATTAAAAAATTTGCATTCACAGAGTTTTTTGAGAATTCCTATTTTGACCGATTTCTGAAAAACACCTGTTTTTTACGTTTTCAGTAAAAAAGTGGGCCGAAAAAATATCTTGCTGAAAACGGCAAATAATTGAATAACTAGAAATGCCAGAAAAATTCTGTGAATGCAAAGTTTTCAATCTAGGTCTGTTTCATACTTTCCTAAATTTTCAAACTAGTAGGAACTTCGAGCTCCAGACCCCGGAAAATTGTCAAAATACCCGAAATTAAACTGAAATTTATGGTTTTTCGTGTCTTGTACGTTCATTGTATTTCCAGACCCACCTTCAAAACTCTTCGTCGTTTTGTAGCCCACCGATTATACTCAGACAACTGCTTTGAAGTCAACAAGGAAACAGCTAAAGTTTGAATCTGAATAACAAATTTTCATTTCACTAATTGCCAGCGGAGTTACCTTCAATGACCTCAAACTCTCACTTGGGATGTTCTGATCGTCCCAAATTTTTTGAAATTCACTTTTGACATATGGGCTCGCGGAACGAAGGAACGGAGCTCTGACACTATTAAATTGCATCATAGCCACATCGTCAAAGGTCGTCTGACCGAATTAAAAATTTTCATGATTATGAATTGTGGATTACTGTACCTGATCCAAGTAGTCGTCACTTTCAACTTCATCCTGACTTCTCAACTTTTTAGCTGGTGAAGCAAATGTGGATGCTGAGAGCAGCGGTATTGGAGTCCCTCCGTTTGTCTGAAAAATTTTGTGAGCAGGAATCAGGAGTCAGATTTTCTGCTGACGTGAGTGACCGGCTTATTTAGGCTTATTTACTCCGCAAAATAAAATCCACTCACTCCAATATGATCATAATCCTGGTCTATTGACGCCTCTGTAGTTGTTGATGGCTCTTTAGCTCGGTCACTGTTTGAGGGTGAATCTAAAAAATAAAAATATTAACAATCATCCTTCCAGAAGGACTTACCAGATTCAAAGCTTTTTATGACATCCATAATATCATTTTCTATTTCGATTTCTTTCAAACACGGTGTCCCTGGAACATGGTTTCTCCTAAAAATTAAATGTTAAGAAAATTAGGAAACAAACAAATTGAGCTCACCAAATTTCTCGGATTTCCTCTCTCGCAAAATCGGGCAAACTGTCAATGTTTTTAGGAAGCCCACACTCTCTTTCAGCTACATTGAGCTAGAATTGATTGATTAATTTTTTGCTACCCATACGAATTGAGGTACAGTCATTAAGATATACAAAAATGTATTTTTCAGTTGATTTCAACTGTTTTCAGGAGTTGGGAGCTGTTTGTATCACTTTGAGAATTTCAGAGGTTGTAAAACAGATCTAGATTGCAATTTTTGCATTCACAGGCTTTTTGAAAACTTGGTTTTTCAGCTATTTACCGATTTCTGAAAGACACCTTTTTCGACCTGAAAGCGTGAAAAAGAGGTGTTCGTCGAAAACCGGCAAATAGATTGAAACTAGGAGTTTTCAAAAACTTTATAAATGCAAAGTTTCGGATCTAGGCCTGTTGTACACCCTTCAAAATTTTCAAAGCCATTGGAAACTTGGTAACCGACCATTAGACTCATGAAAATGGTCAAAATGGGCAAAAATAAACTGAAAAATACCTTTTTTAATATTTTATTGACTGGTACTGTACTTGATTATTCAACAAAACAAAAAAAGACACTCACCCTGAACAGTAGTATCTGACCAAATATGAAGATGGCAAAAAAGTGATTGCTCATGTGTAATCTTCTAGTAATAAACGAATAAGAGACTGTGACAGAATAAGAAGTAGAACGATGACGCACAATCCAAACACAGAATATTATGTATGACTTGAGTGGCAGGAATAAGACGAACAGGTAAGACCACCTAGTTGCTACAATATATCTATCTGGTACTCTCTCTTATTTTGGAGAAGTGCCAAGTTTTGAAACCAGTTGTGTTTGTCTCAGATGTCTGGGCGACGCGCGATGTTCAACCGTTTTTTTCTAGTATTTCCTTCCTTTTTCTTCGCTGAAATGATGTGTGGAGGTGGAGCGATACATGAATGTTACTGGCAACTTCAACTTGTGTCATATTCCCAAATCACAGTATCAAGGACATTCAAGAGACGACGGAAGAAGCAGAAGCATCTTTTTGAGTGAAAGTTCTTGTTCTTCTTCAAGCGGAAGGAGGAAAAAAGACACACGTCAATTTTTGTAGCGCTCTAAATGGCGGCAAAAGCCTCAAGGCTTTAAGGTTGATTTGCCAACAAGAATCTTGTACAATTAGTGACTGACAGTCACAAGATTTGCAAAAGCCTTCGTTTTTTGTCGATTCCGCATGGCTTTCACCTGCCATTTGCCCCCTATTACGCCATATATGCACTTGACAGGTTTTTTGTTGTTCACGATGATGACATTGGAAGCAAATGTGAGGAATTCCAAGAAATGAAAGATTTGGTTGAATAGCAAAATCGGAATGGACCAAACACTTACGTATAAGAGTTACAGAAGCATCTGAAACAACGAATTGAGCTGGAAAGTTTCGTTCTATAATTTTTGGACTCAGAAATCAAACATTCTCAGTAATTGATGCTTCTTAACGGAATCCTTTGAAAATTTCTGAAAAATGAGCTACGCTAAGAAAATCATATTTCTTAATACCAAATCTTGGGATCATATTTTCAAGCCACAAGAGGCTCGAAAGGGCGTGTGAACGAAGACTTCTAGACACATTTCTAGAATAATGTGTAAGCCTGAGAACTCTGATCACTGTCTAGACACGAGCTAGGACAGTATAAATAGAAGCTAGCAGCCCGTTTACAAGTTCAATTTGGGGTTTTGAACTCCTGCGAACCAAAAAATACTTTGTTTTATTTATTTTTCTCATTTTGTTTAATCGTTTTACCGCATTATTTCTCTCTCTCTCTCTTAGGAGCCAACCAAAACCGTCATTTTTGCGCTTGATTTTCTCGATTCTTGTAAAGGATTTCGGAAATTTGTATACTGATAAATTTTTTATCACAGTAGCACCAATACTTTATCAGTAGACGAATTCTTAATATCTATCACAGGTACCAAAATAATAGAACCAAAAAATACGGTCTAGTTGAGCTTCTATTAGAACAAACATGGTATTCAGAATTGTTCAAAAAAATTCAAAATCTGAAAAACGTTCATACCAATTTTTACATTGGCATGACGGCTATCATTTTTGGATTGAAATTATTTTGCTGAATTTTGCTAAATTTTCGTATATAACTAACAAAAAAATTGCTTAACCCACATACCGTGAAACCTGCAAATAAAGGACATTCCACATCGTCTTGTTCGAGCCTATATATCTCATTTACTGTAAAAGATATCAAAAATCGGTCAGATAATGAAATTTGGGTGATTTTATGATGAATATTTTATCAGTTGACCATTTTTTGATGCCTTTCACAGGAAGTTAGATACGAGGGGCTCAAAGTTAACGAGTCGAGGGGAGTCAGCATTATAAAACTAAAAAACTTGTATGAAATAAAAAAATATAGATTTTCCAAAACTTTCTTCATCAAAAACATTATCTTTAATTTTTTAAATTAAATATATGGTGAATACGTTCAATCCAATTACCCTCTTGATATGTCTACAATATTTATAACCTAAATCTCACGAAAACCTGAAAATCTCTCTTGCGTCACAACGAATCGCTTTTTTCTATCTCGCAATGTCATATTATTACCTACCGCCCCCATATAATATCTCTTACCGTATCATCGATAACAATCTCTATCGCTCACATGTATACAATTTACCGCAGTTCCCTCCATTCAACATTACAGTTATTTTTCTTTTTTTTCTCGACCTGACTCATCAAACGCAATCAAAGCCCCCACACAAGCCGAACAGAAAGAAAAGAGAAATATAGAATTCTGACGATAACCCCAATCGCGTTATTTATACAGTCATTGTCAACCTTTACAACCCAAAAACGCACCATACAGATCAAAATTACACTTTATTTGTTCATGATATATATATATATTTTTTTTTTGTTTTTTCTCTTTTTTCTTCTTTCTCTCTGTCTAGTTTTCCCTCAGTCTACCTTTGTAGCTGTTCACTGTAAAACTAAAATCTTCCTTTCCTCATGTTTTCAGTGGGTTATCTTCCATCAAATTTTTGGCCTTTGGGAAAAAAGTCTTCCCACACCAGGCATCGACGTTTGTCTTCCCCCGTCCTCCGGTTTCCTCCCGTTCTCTTGAGTACTCTTGGATGCGTGGCGGTCGCGTTGCGGTCGTCCTTGCACACACACGTTACTCGGTTACCAGCACCGGTGCGCAGGTCGATACCTCATCGCGTTTTCTACTTTTTTGAATACTTATTTTGTACGATTTTCAGAATTTTTTTAAAAATTGAAATTGTCTGTTCGACTTATTGCTATTTAATTTTTGATATTAACTCAATTGTTTATTTTTTTCCAGGTAGGCAACAATACAGCACTCAAGGAACTTTGCCGGTTTGTCCAATTTTGGAGAAGTCCTGCCAACTAGACCTGTGGTAAGTTGTTTATTTCGAAATAATCCGATCAAGCAAATTGAACAAACACGTGGCTGCAAAATGTGAAACTTTTCCTCCAATCTGCACAAATATACATCGTCGATTGTCGCTAAACGATTTTTGTTTTCATTTTGTTAGATTCGAACATAAAAAGACGACAAATCGTCCCCTTCCAGCTCAGCTTTTGACAGTTTTCTCGTTTCTCACATCACTTGTTTCTTCGAAAAACAGTTCTGATCGGTGGAATGATCGCTGAAATGATCGTCTAAAATGGAAGTAATTCTAGTTCTAGAACAAAAGAACATGTAGAACAGACCAACGATCGATCATTGGCTTCCACGTATTACAAAAATTATGTCTTCCGCTCCCGAAACAAAGATTTAATCCAAAAAATCGATTTTCCAGCCAGCATTCGTCCCACCTCGACCATCATTAAGCAGCGGCGCACATCAGTCAAAGCACCCTCGTTTTTTCCAACAAGGTAAGTCTTTTTGTGGTTGTTCTAAACAAGTTTTGTGTTCCGACACACACGTAAAAAGAGAGAGGTTTCACCATGACCTGAAAAACGAACATCACATTGTTACATCTCCTCTCTAAAGACTACATACGTGTCAAAAAAGGCGGGTATGGAACGATATGGGACGCAAAATGTGTAAAATACAACAAAAATTCGATCATCACCATCAAAGCAAACATAAATACCACGGGTTTCGCCACTAATTTTTGTTATGATACTTTTTTTTTTGGACTACTGTTAGAAAGAAAACGTTTTAATTTGTTAGCTAGACTTCCTCATCGAGAGCGAAATCAAAAAAATACTTGCTGCTTTGTGATTCATTCCTAGCCAAGTCCCTTCCCCTATATACCTGAATTTTGGATTTTCGGATTCTCTTGAAATTCATTCACTATTTGCTCACCGGCTTGCACTTTATGTAATTCAATTTTTTTGCGATGCGAGATGATCGTAACAAAAAAATTTCCGCCGTTTTTTCATATAGCTCTATTTTCCTCCCATTGATGCTGGAGGATCAGATTTCATTATCGAAAAGGGCAAATCTGCTTTTTTGAGGCTTCAATATGTATTAGAGGTGAGATTAAGATATATACCAATAAGTCAAGACATGATACGGTATTTTTCCATCCGTTCTGAACAGTAGAGACACCTAAAATGTCGTTTAGTTAGAAATGATATAGATATAACTTCATATAGGTATATTTAGCATTAAATATTGATTTTTTTTATTCCAACGTGTTTGGCGTTGTGATTCACAAAAGCTGGACTATCTTAAGATTAAATCCTAGAGCTTCTGCATCAGAGACCATGTGTACTATTTGTATTGATCCCCCTCTTATCCTCCCTCTTTATTTTTCTCGCCCTCTCTTTTCTCTCCGTCGAATGTTTCAAATAACAACAAGACAACGAGAAAAGAGGTCTTTGGGTTCGGTTTTCGTTGTCCCCCGAGCGTATTTGTGTGTGAGTGGTTTGGGGCGAAAAAGGGGACGAACGATGGTATGATGTGCGAGTCGAGTGTGTCTACGCGAGGGTTCGTGGAGCGCTGAAGCTTTCTCTCCCAGAAATTGGTGTACATGCCTGTATTTAGGCAATACAGACACAAACACTTTCCTTGTGCACGCAACGATTATAAAAGTGAAAGTGAACGGGTATCGGAGGAGCAGCTTTTGAGATGTGCGTGTTAGCGGTCTCGTTTTCTGTCTGTGAGAATGTTTGCTCGCACCTTGAAAGTCCGCATGGAAACGAAAATGAAATACATGAGGAGAAAAGGATGAAGAGAGCGAAGAATCAACACAACGTGGGTGGTTGTCTACGTTTTGATTTTTTTAAGGAAAAAAGCTTGCACCGAGAGACGCTTGGAACATTTAATACACTGTACTTTTAGAACACTTTTTAGTTGGGTTAGCAGAATTACTGTGAATAAATTCGACATATACTGTAAAAGTTCAGAAGTTATTTCTAAAAGCCTAGAGACCGTAAAGTCAGACCTAGCTTATTTCTGTTCCTTTAAAAGTATAAAAAGCTGTATTCGCTCTAAAAGGCGCCCACTCTATACGTGCACTAATTACGTGCACGGTTCGATATCTCTCATTGGTACCGAGATAAAAGTGCTCAAAATGCACAAACTGTGTGAGATTCTGCATGTTAGAGCGAATACATTATTTTGCTATCATAATAAATGATCTGTCTGTCAATCACACTTTACTAATTTTAATTTGAAAAACGAGAAAATTTAACTCGAAATTTTAAGTTATAGCTTCAATGTAATTCGTTGATTTAGAGTAATCGAAATGACATAATTTTTATTCGTTACACAATCACTTCAACTTGAATTCAAGGTCCGAAAACTCAGTCATCTGATTTTTCGACATACTGTATTTAGTCTATTTGAAGAAAAATTATCCTATAGGTACACTTTGAGCCTAATTATCCCGTTTCTCCAAACTATAGAAAAAAAATTAAACAAAAAATTAGTAATCAGAGGATTACAAATATTTTCTCAGTTGACAAAAATCTGATATTTTCCACAGGAATTGAGAATAGAGCTCAAATATGACGGCTGAGGTGAGATTCTACATATTAGAGCAAATACGGTAGACGAAAAATCTCCACTCCTGATAGACAGACACATGTTTCAATATTTTAAAGTGCTGAGTTTTTTTGAAAAAGTGCAATGAGTTTTTGGTTGGCTACTCAATATCAGATGGGTTTGTTGAATTCTAGAGTTTTTGAAGCAACCTGTCTCATTATTTCAGTGCAAAAGTGATCTCAGCTAGAAAACCGAATTAGTAATTGCGAAAATTTGCATCTGGCGTCTGAAGATTACGATTAGTTCATTGAAGAAGGCTCGGAGCTTCTGACACTTTAGTAGGTTCATACATTTCATCCTTCGATATTGATTATGTACGTTAAACTAGTCGAAATTAGAATTTGTTGACGTTTTTTAGAGTAAGACTTTTTTCTTTTGACCGTTTTCTTTTATGTTCATGGAGTTTCAAAATCTCTGTGAAAATTAATTTCTCATCTGTCCCACAAATCCTTCTCTGAACGTCGTACGTTGACAGGTGTAGTATCAAAAGCCACTCTATCCATCTAGTTCCCATTGTCCCCGTTCCTTTGTCCTCGGACCCATATTTTTCTGACATTATCTCCTTTCGAACCTACCGTACCTGAACAAAGTTCAGCTATTGTTTATCCACCGCGCTTTGTTCGTAAAATTGTTCGTGTCCTTTCTACCAGACATTATCGCCGAATGAAGCAAAAAAAATTGCATGTGAGAAAAATCGTAGTAGGAATCGAAAGTGAAAAAAGAAGTATCAGAATTATGTATTATCGTTGGTCCTTCTCTTTCTCTCTCTCTGTCTCTCTCTCTCTCTCTCTCTCTCTCTCTCTCTCTCTCTCTCTCAAATTACGAGACAAGTACACAACAATGAAGTCTTTATTCCTTTTTCCCCCGATGCTTCTCGTTTTCGATTATAGTCCTCTTTATCTTCCTGTCTGGCGCCACCGCTTAACCTTCCATCTCCCGCGCCCGACGTTTAGTAGGGGTGCAAAAAAGAAGCATCATCAACACCTAGGCCTTGGAGAATAGAGACACCCCTTCAAGAGTAAATTTGGAAAAATGCTTTGCCGCACCATACCGCAAGCGCCTTGCGCAAAGCAGCAATCTGTTGCGTGTGTCGTGTTGCGTCAGCGGGCGTCATAGAAACTTGTCTCTTTTCTCTTTTCTCGCTAGTTTAGCGCCCTCCCTTGCTACCTCTCTCCCACTCCCGGCGTCCTCCCCAACCATCTCTTTCACTCTCATCAAATCCCGCTATTCCGGAAAAAATTAAGTGCCTCTGGAGGCTGTTGTACAGCATATCACTGTTTGCATCAGCATCGAATTCTTCCCACCTATTCTGTCTGTCCGTGTGTTTGTCTGTGTGTGTGCTCACTGTATTCTGTATTCTAGTTATTGTCGTTCCTGAATCATCTCAACAAACTGGCGGCGGCGAACGACTACAGTTATATGCTGTTTGTTCCCGGAAAAGGGCTATGTAAGTTGGTTTTATTCTTTCTTTTTTTGTTGGTGAATTCTTGAAAAACCGTAGTACACCTCAAGGGAGCTTCTAGACATGTTATTAGAGTTTTTGTTTCCGGGTAATTGCTTAAAAACAGTATAGATGTTTTTGTCTATCCCTGACTATACAATATTCCCTCCAGAGATCCAAGTGGTGTTATCTGAAAAACCGCAGACAATTGTTCTTCTTTTCTCCCCCAATCACAACGATCACACATTCCTCGCCGCGCTCGAAAGGGCCTCCTCCCATTCCTATCTGTTGGTAATCTATCCATCCATTCTTTTCCATCGTTGTCGTCTTCGTCGTTTTCATTCATCCCTTCTGTTCGGTCCCCCTCTCCTTCTGTCGCTGCTTCATCTTCCTCATATATATATCTCTTCGCTTTCGCCCGAATATCTCAGTTTCTCAGTTCACTTTCGCTTTCTCATGCCCTTTTTCGTTTTCCACCCATTTCACGAATTCGGAATCGCCGAAAAAGTGCACGTAATCTAGATTCCTATCTATCCATTTATCTCTGGTCTGTGTGGCTGTGGAGAAGCATCTCCAACCGACACCCGAACGAGGCCATCGTGCACTCTTTTTGAATTTTAGTCGATGGATTTTGGATTTTGGCTTTCTTGTTGAAATGGAAAAATAAAATCTCTACCCCTTTTTTTCAACTCTTTCTCCAGCACCTCGCAGCTTCACTTCCTTTCTTTTGTTCAATTTTATTGGCTAGAACTAAAACATCTAGAATCTAGAAGCCACATGATTTTTCTTTCCTTTCTCTCCTTATCTGCGAATGATTTGATAACTTTTCACCATGATTTATCATCAAGACACTTTCTCTGGTGCCATCTAGTACCTGTGGAACAGGAACGGTAATCGGTTTGACAACTTTTTCGGCGTGTGATGAATTTTTCACAATGTTAAAAGTTTTGAATGCGAAGAGAAAAAGACATTGGAACAAAAGAATAGAGAACGATTAGGGAAGGAGGAACAATTAAGAATCGAAAAGAGCGAAATGTGTACCAGATGGCGGGTGTCCTTGTCTATAACCCGTTTAGGGGGCGAAGTGAAAAGAATGAAAGGAATAGAGAATAGTGCAAAGCTTTAGGCTAAAACCTTGAGCTTTTTCATGTCTTCCTTTTTTTTCTGTATTTTCTTTTGAAGCTTGTTTAGCATGAGGGCACCTTTTTGGCGCCATGTCACATTTTCTCTCAACGTTCGCAGTTTTTCTAGTTCTTCCTGATTCCCCTGTCATAATGATTTGTTGCTTCAAGGTGAAATGACTTTCTCCTTCCTAGCAACTTGATTTTTGTACTTACGATGATCTTGAACGCTTTTTGAAGTGGCAGCGGTTACTGTAGAAATTTTGATTCGTTAGGGGACATTAAAAATCGGCATAGAGCTGTGTAGCGGTTTTGACTTTGACCATATACCATATTTTGAAAGTTTGCAGTTTTGCTTTCGGTTTTTGATTGAAAAAATTTGTTTTCAATGAAAAATTAAAATTTTGATAATTGTTTCTGCTAGAATATTGGTAAAAAGGTTTATTGAATTTTGCTGTAACTACAGTACCGGTGAACAAAATATACAAAAACCGATTTTTCTGTTGATTTTGGGTCATTTTAACCATTTTCAGAAGTCTGGAGTTTGAAAACTCCTTGTATCCTCCTTTTAGACCTTTTGTACTGAAAATGTGAAAAAACAGTCGCCTTTCAACAATCGGTGAATATTTGAAAAACTAGGAACTTTCAAAAAATTCTGTTAATGCAAAATTTTTAATCTATGTGTGTTTTACAATTTTCAATATGTTTTAAGTCATCAAGAACTTGAAATCGAGCTCCAGACTCCTGAAAAAGGCCAGAACGACCAAAAACAGATCGCAAAACACACTTTCGTGAATCTTTTCCACCGGTAGTGTAGCTTTTTAACCGTCTACCACATTTTTTACTTCCCAAAAAAAACTTCCCAAAAAAATCGATTCTTATCGGTCACAATGTGCCTCTCACATAGAGTAAATAATACGAACAAAAAACTATTCTATTATTCTAGTACATGTCCCCTCATTAGTGCCAATTTGTACTCCTTCAGCGATCATTCCGACTAGTGCAGTACGACTCACAGTCGTCGTACTTTGTGAAAGTACCGGAAAGTATTCAGCCGAGCGAAAAAATATAACACCTTTCCTTTTTTCGCGACGCCCTGAATTTGCACTTTTAAATGGCGGTGCGGCGGAAAATATATTCCAGCACTAGAACCCCCACACAATCCTACTATCCTTGTCTAGTTCATGTTGTCCCCCCTCTATGTGTATATGTCTATAGTGCTGCGTGCGTGTGTTTGAACAACCTTTTCGATCGTCGCACCCCTTAACTGTTTCTCTGTATTCCTATTCTCTTTCTCTCTTCATCTGTATAGTTCTTTTCGTTGCTATCGTCTTTCACGTAGGGTTTGCCAATTTGACTATGATATGGGTGGAAAAACTGGAGGGCGGCGTTTTGAATGAAAAGAATGGAAATTGAGAGGATGCACTTTTGCTCTCCAAGCCGGTGCCAGCGGCGGCGGCGGCGGAATTGGCGCCGACGCGGCACACATCTGTTATCCCCGCCCACTTTTCCACCAGTTTTCATATTCTTTTGGTGTGTTGATGCATAGTCAGGGATGTTCCCAACGACGCACCTGTATGTCAAGCGGGCATTTTGATATTAAAAAAATTATTTTGGATAGAATGGTCCAGAGTCCCTTTTTTTCTTCCTCAGGGGCAGAAGCAGCAGAAAAACTAGGAGAAAGGCGCCAGGGACCGGTTTCTCTATTTCCCACAGCACGGAGGGCGCGCGCGAGCGCTCGTCCCAATGTCCTCAGTTCTGTACCCCTCTTCTAATTTTTTTTAGTTTATCCCAAGGCCCGCCCATTCTGTCTGGCTTTTTTTTCCCATCGCCAGTACACCACCGCTCCAGTCTGGGAGGTCTTATTCAGCTGCTTCTCCCTCATGTGCGGGCTGTTGGGAGTGAAATTGAAAGTGAAGGAGGAGGGGGAAAAGCAAAGGGAAAGGATTCAGAGAAATACAGAAAATGAAAGGGCTGTTTCTGTGTCTCCGCACCGCGCCGCAGCCGCACGGAAAGGGCGCTGCTACGCGGCAGCAGGCGCGCTTTCGATCTTCTCCTATCCATCCTCCTCGCCCTCCGCGTCCTCTCTCCGCAAGCTTCCACTTTGTGCCCTAAAACCACCCCTACACCCCTCATCCTTCTCTCTTCAGATCGTTCTGTTCCTCTAAGTCTTGTTGTCCTCTTATTCTCTCTTTTCCTTTACGCGTTGTATACAACCAGCGCGTAGCAAATGCGCCGCGCTGCAGTCCGCACAGCCACCCAGACAGCATCTATCTCAGGCCCTCCTTTCTGCTTTCGCCCTTTCTTTTCATTTTCAAAATTTCCATTTCACCCAATTCTCTACGTCTGTCTGCCCGTTTCACTTTCTAAACAGTTTCTGAACCATTGCACTTTTGTTCCTTCTTTCGCCACCTTCTTCCTTATCAAGTTTTATTGATCCGCCCTATTTTTTTTCAAAAAAAAAACTCCCAGGTTTTTTTTGGAAAAAAAAATCATCAGCGTCATACATCATAAAAAATCTGTATCAGTCACATTTTTTATCCTCAAAATGTGTTTTTGTTCATTTTAATAGTCATTTCGATAGGTAATGCTTCTCTTTCTGTTGACATCCAATTTTTGTTATCTGTAATTTTTGCCAACGTCACGTATCAGAAAAAAATGCAATGAAAAATATTGACCACTCAGTGACAAAGTCTGATTCTAGGATTTCCAAGGATTTTCGGATCAAAGGAATAAAAAAAACGAGCCACGCACGGTTGATTGATAGAGAAAATCTAGTCGCAAACTAACAAAAAAATCATGATGGATGAATAAATGGATGGATAGGACCGATCCATCTACTACCATTTACCTATAGATCAATTTTCGCTTTTTATTTGCCTAGTCAGTATAACGTGATGTTTGTTTCTCCTCTATCTCCTTCCTTCGAGTTCCCTCTGCTACTATTTTTTGATCGGAAAGGTCGCTCTACCAAATTTTCCTTCGTCTCTCACACTAATTTTCCACTGATTTGCCATAAAGGACGTGGCCGTGAGAGAAGAAGCGCCCGCCGCGAGGATGGATAGTTTGAGGGCTGGGGAGCGAGGTGACAGAAGAAGAAGAACGCCTGAAAACACGTTTTTGGATCTGTCGTTCCCTCTCTCAGTTCCCTCTCCGCCTCTCCCCCATCCACTTTTTTTCTGTCGCTTGCGGCAAGGTTAGATTGCACACGTCAGATGTAAGAACAAAGCACTTTTGTGTGGCTGGGAGACCATTTGCGCACTTGGCACGAAAATCTAGTTTTGCAACGCATTAAAAAAAGGGAGATAGAAGGCGAAAGAAGTGAAAGGCGTTGGAAAAAAAATTTAGAAAAAAATCTTCCATGTTTTATCTCTTTTCTTTTTTTATGCTTTGTTTCTCCTTTTTTATTGTTGTCATTTTTTCCTTTTTTGACAAAAAAAAAGCTGAAGCATCGATTTTCTGTTCTGTAGCGTGTTAGTCATCCTAGAAAAAAATGAAGAAAAATTCTTTGTATCAGTTCCAAATCATTCCATAATGTTTTTCTCTTCCCGAGCTCTCACAATCTTTGATTCTACCTTATCACTTTTAGTTCCATCACATGACATACCGTTATCTTTCCACCTCTTCATTTTTTTCCTCTCGTTGTTTTTTGTCTTCTCCGTGGACTCTTTCGAACGAAACTATTTATAGCTGGAGGGGGTCTGTCCCAATTGTGCACAGACGTGTATGGCGACGATGCAAAAGAATGCTGCTCCAACTTGGCACAACAACGAGAACAACACGGTGACACCAATGGACACCACCGAGCCATCAGCTACCACGGTTCCCCCTCAGAATCCCGGTGAAATTGGGGTGATACGTTTGCTATCGGAGAGACTACAACAGCCGTCTGGGAGTGGACCAGAAGCTCGAGCCGCAGATGAACAACAGCATCATCCGCCTCGGCCGCTTCAACACTTCCCGCTCATCCCAACTCCGATACCACAAGCTACATCTCTACTACAAACGCAGATTACTCAATTGTCTCAATTATCTCAACTCACACAACTAGCACAATTACCACAGTTAGCCACACAACTCGCTGCACAACCACCGCCTCCTCTTGATCCATCGTTGTTCGCTCCGCCGGCCGGATTCACGTGGCCACCGATTGATCCGAGTACGATAGCTGCGTTGGCACAGGCTCAGCTAGCCTCGTCGCACGCGCAGTTCGTTTCGTTGGCTCTCACACTTGATCCGACACTTTTATCACACTTTTTGGCTACGCAACAGATTCCACCCGTTCCGCAGCAGCCATTAGTGCACAAAAGAGGTGAATAAGCATTTTTCCGCACGGAAAAGGTCATTGAAAGGGAAAATCGCTGTGTGGGGGAGGGAGAGGCTGCGTTTTCAAAAAAAAACTTGATTCTAATCGTGCTAGTCAGGTAGTAAAACGATGAATGCGTTTTCGTTTTGCGCTATGCATCATTCTCAAGGACAAAAGAGTACTGTAGGAGAGCATATGATGGGTAGCAATTATCCCTGTAGTGAAGGTGACATATGAAAAAGATTTTTTAAAAGTCAAGGTGAAACCTCTCATTAAGCTTTCATAAAAATTTATTTCAAAATGTGTTATTGATTTTTTTTTTTATGTGGCTTTTTCTCAACTTTCAATTTTTCAGCGGAAATGGAACTGCGAGTTGGCAATCGTTTCCGCCTTGGACGCAAGATTGGTAGCGGCTCCTTCGGCGACATCTACTTGGGTCAGAACATTCAAACCAACGAAGAAGTGGCCGTGAAATTGGAATGTGTGAAATCAAAGCATCCCCAATTGCACATTGAATCCCGTCTCTACCGGATAATGCTTGGCGGAATCGGAATCCCCGAAATTCGTTGGTGTGGTCTTGAAGGTGACTACAATGTGATGGTCATGGAATTGTTGGGTCCATCGCTTGAGGATCTGTTCAACTTTTGTCAAAGGAAATTTTCATTGAAAACGGTTTTATTACTGGCTGATCAAATGTTGTCGCGTGTGGAATTTATTCATTTGCGAGACTACATTCATCGTGATATTAAGCCGGATAATTTTTTGATGGGTCTTGGCAAACGAGGAAATCTGGTTTATGTGAGTTTTATTGGTTTTTTATTAGCTGGATGTATTCTTAAAATTTACAGATTATTGACTTCGGGTTAGCAAAACGTTATCGTGATAGCAAAGCTCAACATATCGGTTATCGAGAGAATAAGAACTTAACTGGAACTGCCAGATATGCTAGTATCAACACGCATCGTGGAATCGGTATGTTATGTGGAATAATACATATTCAAATGAACAAAATTGGTTAATCAAATATTCTTAAAAAACATATTTCTTAGTTGCTTTTCGGCTTTTCTAAGGGTGTGGAGCTTGGCTTTCAAGTTTCTGATTAATTTAAAAACTTCAGAGAGTGTAACACAGACCTAAATTCAAACCTTTACATTCACAGAATTTTATGAAACTCCTAATTTTCCAGCTATTTGCAGGTTTTTGAAAAACACCCTTTTGGGCCGTTTTGGTACTGAAAACGTAAAAAAAAAACAGGTGTTTTTTTAGAAATTGGCAAACAGCTGAAAATCTAGGATTTTTTAAATCTCTGAATTAATGTGAATGCACGAATTCTATGAATGCAAAGCTTCCAATCTAGGTTTGTTACACATACCTTTAAATTTTCAAAGTAATCAGAAATCTGACAACCGAGCTGCAGGCTCCTGAAAGTTGACACAATCGGTACAAATCAACTGGAAAACACGTTTTAAATATCTTATTGACCGTTACTCTATTTATTCTTAATAAAATCTCTCTAAACATACAGTATCCTTTTTAATATCGCCAACATACAGTATCCTTTTTAATATCGCCAATATAAGCTTACACGAATTGGTGGGCCACGGCGTAATAAATCCTGTTTCTTTTTATTAGTGTTTTTTTTAAAGATTTCAATTTTGAACGAATCATGAATATAATTTAGTAGAATGCTGTATTGTTGGAATTTGAATTACCGTATTTTCTCTAATAGAAACCTACCGTAAACATGCACTTTAAGCTCAATTATCTCGATTCCTATGAGATATATTAACGATTTGTCAACTAATAAACAATTAGTGAAGTCGTGATAACAAATGTTTTGATTTCTCTACATTCTTGAAGAAATCAAGATAATTGAGCTCAAAATGCAAGGTATGGTTCTATTAGACAGAATTCCGGTAATTTTATTTCCGTTTGAAATTTTTGATCTTCTTGGCTCAAAAAACATTAATAACAAATTCATTTTCAGAACAATCACGGAGAGACGACATTGAGTCTCTTGGCTACGTGTTCATGTATTTCAATCGGGGGACACTACCTTGGCAAGGATTGAAAGCTGTCACAAAACGTCAAAAGTACGAGTTAATATCGGAAAAGAAGTGCTCGACGCGAGTAGAAGATCTATGCGCCGGATATCCAGACGCTTTCGTTCAATATCTAAGCTATTGCCGAGGACTTGGATTCGAGGAGCAGCCGGATTACGGTTACCTGAGGAGCTTATTCCGGACACTATTCCATCGTCAAGGCTTTTGCTATGATTATGTGTTTGATTGGAATACTTACAAGTGAGTTTTTTTCACCGTTTGAGGACTCCTAGAAAATTTGGAAGCACACTTCATAACGCTTCATCTAACTTTTTCTCATTTTTTCTCTTCTCAACCCGCCTTATTATTTTTCAGATTTGACATGCGGTTCTGAAAGCCATCAGAGCGTCAATTTGAAAAAAAGGTCTCTCACACATAATTCCTATTGTGTTGTGTGCGTGTATATCACCTTAGTATGTGTTGTGCTTTTTTCTTGTCTGTTCCGATGATGCTTTTACCGTAATCCTTTTCTCTTTCTCTCCAATAGTGTAGCTTGTGTCGGCTTCCTTTCTTTCTCCTTCTAGCTTATAATTTCTTCGTGATGTTTATGTGATGTTATAGGAGAGGCTTTCGAATAACCAGAAAAAAGTTGATACATATAGTTGATGTTTTTATTTCAGTTCCTTGTTTTTTTTATATATTACCAATTTTCTACTGACACGCTTCTTACAGATTCCGTCGAAACTGATCGCATTGTTTGTCTATACTCGTTCGTTATTCTAAGCTTACTGATTAAATGCAATGCTGCTTGAGGTAAGAAATCTATGAAAACATTCATCACGCGAGAAAAATTAACCAACACCTTACGCCGCACGTGGTTCCTTATAAGCACTTACCAATGGGTTCAATCTAACACTTCTTTTTTTTTGTTAAAATGTAACAAAGTTCAAAAATAGTGCGGAAATTTTTTGTGGTTTTCTGGAACTTTAATGTTCAAGTTAAGAATTATGATACCATAAATTAGAAATTTGGCGTGGTAAAAATATTGAAACAGACCTAAATTATAACATTCACAGAATTTCTGAAAATTTCTAGTTTTTTAGATAGCTGCCGATTTCTGAAAGACGTACTGAAAACGTGAATAAAAGCCGATGTCATATCAAAATCGGCAAAAAGCAGAAAAACTAGGCTAATTAAAAAATTTTGCGAATGCAAAGTTTTCAATTTAGGCCTGTTTTACACTTTCCAAGATTCATCAAAGTGATCGGACACTTGACAGCCTAGCTCCAGACTCCTGAAAATGGTCAAAATCAACTGAAAAACACCTTCTTGTAAATTTTATTGACCGATTCTGTACATGAACAATTTTTATTTTGAAAACCGGAGTCTGAAGCTATTTTCGAAAACAAGAATTGTTTGCAATTTGGCTTGCAAAGTCAATTTTTTAGAATAAAATGATTGTAGGAAAAACAGATGGTATCAAAATGTGAACTGGGAAATTTCTCTTTTAAAAATTATGAAGCTCGCAATCCGAAATTTTTGTTTAATACTCCGGAATTTTCTTATGTGTGTATTTTGAAGTGGTTTATTCAGGTGCTCAAGATTCTAATTAAACTTGCAATTTAGAAAATCATATAATCCAAAAAAAAAACAATCAATTCACATCTTCAACACTTTTCCCCATATCAGTCATTTCTTGCACCATACCCCCGAAATTTCAAATAACAAATTTTATCAGATTGCAGGTTCTACAATGAAACGATAGAATCCCGTAACACATTCCATCCAGCGGGACCATCGAATCAACGGCGGCATTAATTGTAAATCAGTATTTTTTTTCTTTTTTTTCTTCCTCTCTCTTTTCCATTTCCAAAATCTCAATCTCTTTTTACTTTCTTGTGATACCTACCCATGTTTCATCTCTTCTCATTTTTGTCATTCTCTCTTGCTCTCTTTTGTCTCTTGTTCCCAATTCAAAAAACCACATTTTCAATCTATTTGTAGTATTTTCCCGTCCCCTTCTACTGTTTCCCTCTTTTGATCTTTTTCTTAGTTTCCTTTTTTTATTGTAAAACAATTTTCTTTCTTCTCTTTATTTCAGCTTCTCTCTCTCTTTCTCTCTTACGAGTTTGGGTTTTCATTTTTCTCATTTGTCCTGTCTGGAATTCATCACACCTCTTACTTCTTTTCATATTACAACCATATACACTAGCTCATAGGATTTTCTCTATTAAAACTGCCCTTTTCCCTTTGAACTCTGTCTCTTTTTTTCTCTCTTGGTATCTTGAATTTCTTTTTAATCAATACCTCACCATAATCTTTATTTAGGAAACAGTAATGTAAATGTAACATTTTCCAAAAAACCATTCCTTTTTGCACTAAAAAAGTTTCCGAAAAATCCATTCTTGGCTTTTTTCCGTGTGTCGTAAAAAATAATTCTCCTTATCCTTCATATTTATCAATATTCTTTGAGCAATGTGGTTTTTGTATTCTGAACCGTCGCTTCTGCGGGTGAAGAGACCTACTGTATCAAAATGTGACGATTCCACACGATTTTCAGCTCTTATTGTTTTTCGTCCTTTTTCTCTCACACCAATTCACCTTTTATTTTTTAAGACTGGTAAAATTGTAATTTTGTCTTCCATTCTTTTGTCATTGAGCAATCATTTCCGTTTTTTTCCATAAAAAATTTACAAACCCATATTCATATTGAGCAAATTTATTCGAGCAAAGCACACTACAATGCAGATGAGAAGGCAAAAGTGAACGACGATGAGATGAAAATAGCTAGATTCTACCTTTTCTGCAGTAATAAAAGAAATTAATCAAAATGAGATACGTTGTATAAGATACCGGTCAATAAGTTACAAAAAACTAGATTTCAGTTCAGTTTTGGTATTTTTGGAAGAGTCTGGAGCTCCGCTGTCATGTGTCAAATCATTTTGAAAATTTTGGACGGTCTAAAACAGATATATCCTCAAAAGTTCGCTTTTACAAATTTTTTGAAAACTCCTAGTTTTTCAGCTATTCACAGGTTTCTGGAAATGACTCTTTTTTTGCTTGTTATTGTACTGGAAAAATGAAACAAGGTCAAAAATTCGGAGGATACAAAGATTCGGGAGTACAACGGTGTGCAACTAAAACAGGGGTACAAAACTTACTAAAAACCTGTTGTACCCATGAGTTATGGATTTTGTACCCCTAAATCAGTTGTACTCCGTTGAATCTCCGGTTGTTTCCAAAATAATTGACTCACAGAAATAGCTGAAAAACTAGTAAATTTAAAAAAAAACAGTAAATGCAAAATTCTAGGTCTGTTCATCCTTCAAAAGTCAAAATGATCGGACACTTGACAGTCGAGCTCCACACTTCTGAAAATGGTCGAAATGGCTCAAAATCAACTGAAAAAACACGTTTTTGTATATCTTATTGACCATTACTGTAAATATATATGTACAGTTATGGATACGTCTTGATGCTTGTCACAATCTCCACAATATTTTGGCTCTTGGTGGTGCTCTTGTTTGCCAGCTGAATTGCAGACGGGAACAAATTACATCCGAGAAAATCCTTGACGTCGCGCCAGATTTGCGCTTGTTTTCGAGCGCTGTTCGCAATTATCTGGTTGGTTCGAACACGTGAATAGCGGTCGAACGTCTCACCAAGCGCGTCTTCGATAACTTCGAGAAGAGCTTCGCGTTCTTCTATCTGCAAAAACAACGGATTTGGATGGGTAGAATAGAAGATAAATATTTTTTGAAGAAGGTTTATGTTTTCAAAACAGATTTTTGCATATTAAAAAAATGACTTTTAAAGTAACTCAAAAATTTTATTAAATCACGATACAACAACACTCACATCTTTCAGACTTGGTGGTGCTTCACTCTTCCTCCTGGAGTTTATCACAATGGGTGTTGAGTCGGTTTGTGTGGATCTCACACAATTAGAAACATTGAGGAATTCAACACTTGCTGTCGAAACATGCTTCTTGCTCTGGAAATACTTTTTTGTTTTTTTTTTTTTGAAAGAATCTTCTGTGTTGAACTCACTGTTTGGGTCGCCATATCATTAGACAATCTCGATGTAGCCAATACAAAAACACTGTCAGTTGAAAGTGGAGATAATTCTGGTTTCGACTCAGCTCTGCCCTCGATGTCTTGCGCAGACTTTGACCTTAAAACATATGCATATGTTTACGTCTTTATTAATCGACTCGCGATACCTTGGAGGGAGAGCCACTTCTAATGAATTTTTCAGCGGTCGATTTATTATCACTCCGTTTTGACGTGAATCAAGCGAGGCGAAAGTTCGTTTCGGGCCTGGAAAAAGTTGAAGGAGTGGAAAATAAAACTTGGTGAAACGTAGTTTAGTAAAGGAGCAACTCTGCATGCGTATAATCGTACGTGCTCTTTCTATTTTAAGGTTTCGTAATGCGAAAATTGATATTGCATTCATACGTAAGATTCATGTTAGAGAGAAAATGTAATAAGGAATTTTAATACTCAAGGATTTCGTCTCAAAGGCGAAGGGACATCACAAATGTTTGAGTAAATATCGCGAAAAATTAAGTTTGAGCTCATTTTTCTTGGATCCTGTGCAAGATATGAAGAATGTGTCAACTGATAAAATGCAGACTGTATTATGTTAAACAATTCATCAGTTGAAAACTTTTCCATATCTTCGACAGGAACCGACAAAAACTGACTGAAAGTTGAAAGATTAGGACGTTTTCATTACAGGGTTTACGGTAACGGCACAACCATAATATTTTCCACTTACTCAATGCTTTATGTTGTACAGCTAAAGCGTCATTCAACCGGATTCCAGAATAATTCGATTGCATAGAACTATCGGATTCTGATGACGTTTTCAACCTTGCCCTCTCCTCCATAAAAGCAATACTTTGAGCTGCCGCATCTTTTTGTTTAGATTTTGATGGTTTTGGGCTGTGATTCAGTTGTGGTAGTGAGACGTTCTTTTTTTTCTTTCGAGACCCTGAAAGCCAAAACATTGAAGATATGCACTTTCTTGGGATCAAAAATAATTCCTTCTAGAAATCGCGAACATGTTCTTTTTCTCAAATCCCATCTAATACGTCCCTAGGTATTTGTTTAATCTTCAAACATTTTCTTTTAATCTTTAGACAATTTTTGATTTTAAGCTGATCTTGAATAAGCCATCCTGAGAAAATCGGAAAATCTTTTAAAAAATTTCCAACACACACACCCACGAGATTCCCTGTCTTATCTTTACAATTTCCTTGATGCATATTTGTCATTTTCTCATATCATAAAATTATATGACGCACCAACCAAATCAAACGATTAGGAGCCTACTGCAGTGTGTGTGTGTGTGTGTGTGTCATCCGGGATGTGCTCTATGTTTTTTTCCCCTAGACAACGTGACGTAGTCCCTGTCACGGAAGTCCAAAAGGTTTCCCTAGCCTTTCGTCAAGGATGTTAAATTTCGGTTACACTTCTAAAACCAACCTTTTTCCATGCCATTACCAGCGTCCTTGTTCTCGTAGAGACCCCTACAAAATTGTAAAATGGTATACGACTCCTTTTCCGATCTTAGACCGTAGTCACAGTCACAAAAACGGATAACTGTTTTTGCAAAACAGACACAAACAAAGAAAATGAGAGGAAAAAACGGAAATGATCGAAGTTCACTCACTGTTGCGTCGGATTCACCAAAGACGGAAGATGCGAGGCTGCAACCGTCGTCGCCGATTCCTTACCGAAGCCGTTTGGAGTGACGTCAGCCACCGGAATCGGTCTGCAGATATGGCAAAAATGAGATGAGAGATAGTTATTGGGAAAAGGATATCCTTTTTTCAACTGTAGGTGTCAAGAAGTATCTCTTATTCTCACCAAAGAATTTTTGAATGAAAAATTGTACATAAACAAGGGCCAAGGACATTTGAAGTTTGGCAAATATGGTCTTGGGAAGGTTAAACCAACCTTGTCAGAAAAATTCTTAGTACAGGTGCAATAAGATATACAAAAACGTATTTTTGAGTTGATTTGTGGCATTTACAGGAGTGATATGCTTTCAATCAGTTTTGCTTTCAAGATTTTGGACGGTGTAAAACAGACCTGGATAAAAAATTTGCATTCATAGGATTTTTTGAAAGTTCCTAGTTTTTCAGCAATTTCCCGATTTCTGAAAAATACCAGTTTTTTACGTTTTCAACAAAAAAGGTTGTTGGCTCGTTCAAACAGTTTTTGCCCGTTTTTTGTACTAAAAACGTAAAAAACAGGTATCTTTCTGAAATCGGCAAATAGCTGAAAAACTAGGAATTTTCAAGAAATTCTGTAAATCCGAAGTTTCCAATGAATGTTTGTTTTACACCCTCCAAAGTTCTCAAAGTGATCGGAAACTTGAAAGCTAAGCTGCAGACTTCTGAAAATGCCAAAATTCAAGTGAACTACTGTATATTTTCTACTTATACTAAGAATTTGTCAAAATGATTGGAAAGCAGGTGAAAATTGCGTTTTTGTATATCTCCTTGACTAGTATACTGTATCTTACAGGATTTTCCTCATACCTCATCATATTACGAAAAATGCCGCACGATCGTTCAAAAAGTAGTTTTGAAAATAAGAATAATAACGGATTTTGCTTCAGTAATCAGATCAAAAAAGATTGTGTCTCCGAAAAAATTGAATATGAAAAATAGAAAAGAAGAGCAGCTTCTCGAAGGCAAAAACTCAACCGGTGTGAGATAAGCGGTTTGTTTATCCACAATTTTTTGGCCACAATCAAAAAAGTGACAAAAGGAGAGGGTTCTTTTGAATGCTCTTTTGAATAACGCACTAATTCTTTTGAAAAATATCAGAATATCATGACGACTGGAGCGTAGAGAAAAGGGAAGAATAGGGTAGGAGAAGAAAAGGGGGCAGAGTTTAGCTCATGATATGAAAATGCAGGAGAAACGAGCTAGTTTGTCTACGAGTAGGGTTTCCACTAACGAATTGGGAGGAAAATTTATTTTTCAAATTTTCATATCTTGCGCTTTTTTCTTGAAATGGGAAAATAGACAATGTTAATGTTTTTGTCCTAGAAATTTCTACAAAATTCTGTGTCTTCCGCTTTCTGTATCACGTAGTCTACAGTATCCCCATCTTCCAACTCACGTATGAAAGTGTCGAAACGATTGATACCCCTGACATCTGGCTCATATTTTGCTCGTATCACACTATTTTCAATCGATTTTCCCACAACTACCAGGTCCCGTTTCTCAATGGCTGCCACTCGTTCTCGAACTGATGCACCATACTGTCTCACCACTGGCATGTACTTTTCTGCAAAAATATTGTTTCCGGGTACTATTTTTTAAATGATTTGTCCTTGTTACGAAGATAGGGCTAGATATATTTCATGGAGAAAAAAACATAGGTGGGGCTATGATACTGTCTGATTTGGCGAACAGGAAGCAACTAACTTGTGAAAGAGATAAAGAGGTTAATGAAAAAGGATAAAGAAGGATGTGTAGAAAGAAACCAAGATATCATTTAAACAAAAACCAATCAGTAAGGGGAAGTAGATTAGGAAATAAAAAACATTGAAGGGTAACTGCGAAAAAAATTTGTTTGGATTACTGTATTCAAAAAAATTAAAATCCTGCGACTGGAGTTTTCGATTGGAACTGTTTCTAGACATAACCAGATGGAACAACAACAAAACAAAAGAAGAAAGGAATCATTTCAAATTACCGTAACCAATAAGATCCACAAAAATTCATTTTTTGGTTGATTTTCGGCACTTTTGTCCATTTTCAGGAATCTGGACCTCGGTTGTCAAGTTTCCGATCACTTTGAAAAGTTTGGAGGATATAAAACACACCTAGATGGATAATTTGAAGCTACGCAATTTTTCAATCATGCATAGCTTTTCACCTACTTCCCAATTTCTGAAGAACACTTTTTTGGTCCTTTTAAAAGTGTGTGTTCCAGCAATCAACAGACAGCTGAAATGTAGAGATTATCACAAAATATTGTGAATGCACAGTTTTCCATATAGGTCTGTTTTACGCCTTCCGAATTTTTCAAAGTGATCGGAAACTTGACAACCAAACTCCAGACTCCTGGAAATGACTAAAGTTGTCAAAACATCATCTGCGAAATACGTTTTTCTATATCTTAGGGTCCGGTACTGTGGAAAAACAATCGCGAACTCCAAAAAATAACCTACTGGGGGTTACTGTAAATCTTAAAATTGAATGGTTCAATTGTAAGACATCACCAGACAAAACAAAACAAAATAAAAACAGAAAAAATTTGAAATACCGTACCCATCAAAATAAATACGGATTCTCAAAAAAAATATAGTGTCAATCGGGGGAAAAAAGTAATAAATGAAGACTGGTGAGAAAAAAAAAGGATTGAGTTACTGAGAAGACAAGATGGAGATGGAAACCACGACTCAAAATCCGTAATCGTCTTCTCCACACCATTTTTTCATCTTCTCCACTCTTTTTTATTCAGGATATGCCTGCTTATCTATATTTGAGCTTCTCACCGCCACCGGCTCAATGTATGAGTGTGTAAGTGAGTGTCTCTGCTAAAGAAGATTATATCATCTAATGTTTTTCGTTTCCTCCTTCAGATTCATCAATTTTGAAGAAGGTTATGTCTTTTAGGGAACTGCAAAAAATCGCGCTATAATCGGAGAAAATCGAAAAGGAAATTTGTACAAGGTTACTTTAATGGATTATGTATGCCTTTCTTATTTTTTGAAAATCAGAACTTTCGTGAACTGCCATGACCGTGAAGCCCATCAAAAACAAGAAAAAAGAAAAGAGTGTTCACTATCATAAAAATTATTTGTATCAAAAAAAGAAAGAAAAAAAAATATATATGCATTTATATTTAATGAAAAACATTACGAAATCCTGAGAAAAACTCATCCGGAAACCCCGAGAGTACTCCAAGATACTTCAGAATTATGCATGATGACGTGAAAGACAGATGACTGCTCTTGATGACGTCGCAAAATTTTTGCTATTCTCACCTGAATATTTATTCAGCATACCACTAAAAATAGATGACTTTGTGCACTTCACCCTCTTTCCGGCGTCTCTAAATTCAATCTGTATGGGTGGTCTTTTTTTGATCTCCCTGACAAGGGAATCTCAACACCTTGTAAACCCAGATTTTGTGGAAAGTTTCAGGATATGGTAAGAATAGCCTATATAGACACATCTCAAAATTTTAGAACCCGCAATTTGTTGTGTTAAACTTTAAATTGACCGAAAATTCATATTTCAGGCATTTTCTCAAAAAAATTTTTTTTTCGGATTTTCCACGATTCCCCAAATTTATTCGAAAATTTAAAATAAATTTGATTGTTTTTAAAGAAAAAATTTTGGAATTGGAAATTTCATGCAATTCTGAGTATGATACAACAAATGTCATATTCCGAAAAATTCTAGAAACTGAGAAATTTGTTTTTTTTTGCACTGAAAAAGCGATTTTTAGTACTGAAACTGATATAACTTGGCTGGAACTGGCTTGCGGATTCTCAAATTTTGGAGGTGTCTTTATCGGAAAATGGGTTCACGTGTTGAGGTTCCCTTGTTAGATCTATGATGTTTAAGACATTCCTGAAGCTACATATTTGCTACGATCTTAACTATTTTGTACTCGTTAACTAACAAACATCACAAATTATTCCGGCCCTTGTCAACAAAAAAGGTTTGGCGTTTGATGCCCCCGGTGAGCGATTTTTTCTGAATTTCTCGACTTTTCTTTCTCCTGTACACAAAGAGATATCCGTTTTCTTCCCATATACTCATTTTCTAAGAGAAAGTAGTACAGATTTAGTGATCATTATCACAAAAATGGCAATGCCCATCTCATCTCTTCTATCCTATCCGATTTCTCCGATTCCTGACGTCGCCGGTTATCTCTCTCTCTCTTTTTCGAAAACTTCTTTTTTGAAAAATTGGGTGGGAGAAGATAGATCGTCTAAGGAGCTAAACAAGGTCTCGTCTCAAGGACATTGAACCAAATCATCAAACCCCTAAAACCCGCCCCATTTCGGATGGTATATAAAGCAGGTTGAAATACTGTTCAAATCACTTCCACAACAAGTCAACTAGGTATAGCCTTCAAATCATCATGCAGTCGATTGTCGTCCTCGCCCTCCTCGTCGCCTCTACCCAGGCCTTCCTTTTCGGTCCAGGAGGACTTTTCGGAGCCCCAGCTGGAGGATGTGATCCATGCGCTGCTGCCAGAGCCTACCCACAACAACAGCCAGCCTACCAACCACAATACCAACAACCAGCTTATCAACCACAATACCAACAACCAGCTTATCAACCACAATACCAACAACCAGCTTATCAACCACAACCAGTAAGTTATACAGTAATCCTATAATTCTACAGTACTCCCATAATTCTATTTCATTTTCAGGCTTACCAAACTGCTCCAGCTCAACACTACCAACAACCAGCTCCAGTTCAAAACTACCAAACCGTCTCTGAGCCAGTCGCTCAAACTTCCGGAGGAGCTTACGCCCAGGCCCCACCACCACCACCACCATCTTCCTACGCCACCGGAGCTGCCTCTGCCGGATACAAGAGATTCCATTAAACTGCCCCTTCTCAATTTTCTGATGATCTAATTGTATGCTATCACTCAGGATGCTTTTCAGTTTTATGTTTTCGCATTTATCTTCCTAACTAGTTATGAACTAGAAAATGGACTTGAATAAATCTATTTTTCTTGAAATTTAGTGTGTTCAGTTTTATCAAAATAGGTCCAGTTTGTTTTGGAGTGCGAATGGAATAATCGTATTCGCAAACTTACATCAGGTGTTCGAAGCAAACGTTTTTGTTTACTTATGCGTACTGATACGTATTGATTTGAACTGGTTACGAATAATATTGAAGTTGTACATAAAAGTAATGTATGGGTTGTGAAGGTTACATATTACCCAGTGTTTATCATGATAGTCGTTGAAAAGTCAGCTGTTTAAGTAAAAGTTTTTAATGGGAAGTTTTCAACTGCACATAAATTACAGTTTTCCTTCCTTGGATCACCTCTTTTCTTCAAATCTGTTATTTTAATTCTAGTGTTCTAGATAATCATTTTTCCTGTATCTATGGATTCCAAAAAAAGGTGTCCAGAACATTGATAAATGCCCGCGAGATCTTCAGAAGATTTCAACTACATTTTCACTTGAAACTGAAATTTTTGTCGAAAAATTTGCCAGATGGCTGGATTTCTTCACAACTTTCTAATGTTTTTCAAATCTTCTAAACATCTCCGAGAAATGTAATGATTGAGTAATCTAGATTTAAAATTTCACAATTTCCAGAAACCAAAACGTGTCTACTGGCTTTTTGATTCATTGACCCATTGACTCATTGGTTTTTTTTTTCCATTTTCGTGGTATTTGATCATTATAATCACATCGAACCATTTTTTTTCTGGATGTATTAGTCATAAAAAGCTTTTTCCAAAACATTCATCCATTCCCTTAACCATATTTCTTACCGGGTGGCTTCAGCACTATTAGTACAAAAATTCATGTTTTTTGTTTAGAAAGAATTTTTTGGGAATTTTTGTTTTCAAAGTTCTGGGATGTCTTTTTTTCCATTCCTTCATTTTTCTGAATGCCGTGTATGCGTATTAGAAAGTGCTCTCTGAAAAGGTAGGGAAGAATAGAAGATTCCTGGTTTATGCCTTTTTGATTTATCCATTTTTGCACCAACTTCTTGACGGTAGAATGTTAGTGAGAAAAGTTTTGAACTCTTGGAGGCACTTTTTATTAATAGATGAGTTCCGGTACGGTTTCAGTGCTTCCAATTTTGAAAGGTAAAGATTTAAAAAATAGAAGATATTAAGTATGTTCAATTTCCAGTGTTCTAAGTTTCAATGTCTCAATTCATGTGGTGGTTGGCTGTTTTTTTTATCCTTGTTCTTGACAAGATCGATTTGATCTTTTTCCGGATGTATTAGTCATAACAAATTGTTTATAGAACCTTTATCTATTCCCCCAATCAATTCTCTCTCCGATAAATTTCAACATAATGCTTGAACAAAAAACAGTGCCCCTCGTTTTCGTGATTTGTTTTGTTATTGACCAGAACATTTTTCCAAATGTATTAGTCATAAGAACAATTTTCAGAACGTTCATTTATTTTCCCAAACATATCTCTAGCCAATTGATTTCAACACAATTTAAACATAAAATTTATGTTTTTCAGTCGGCAATTTTCGGAAGCTTGTTGTTTTTAGAACATTCACGTACATTTTCGGAACTCTAAATCCCGTAACTCGTGTATCAGAAAAAACTCCATGTGGTGCTTGGAAATATAGAAAAGCCCCTGAAACTAAAAAAATCCTCATATTCATATTATTTTAATACATTATTTTTACACATTCTTCATGGTACAGTTTTAGAATTAATACTGCTCGGAGGAACCTTAGAACAATACATTGGTGGGCTCTTCTAATACAGATATTTAATTTTAAAAGGTAAAGCAATCAGAAATTAGAGCATCTGCCGTTCTTCCCAGTTTTCCCATCCCCTATATCCTTCTTCTCGTAGTCTTTTAACTGTCATTTTGATTTTTGTCCTTGACCAAAACAATTTTTTTCGGATGTATTAGTCATAACATTTTTTTCTCAATGTTTTAGTCATAACAAACGGTTTCTAGAACATGCATCTATTCCCCCAAATCATGTCCTCATAGATTTCAACACAATGCTTAAACAAAGAATTTCATGTTTTTCGTTTTGACAGAAAAATTTTTGAAATGATTATTTCATCTTTCAAAATTGTATCAATTGTTTTAATTGAATGCTTAGTTTGCATAGAATGTAGAATTTGAAATTTTCATCAAAATATATAAAAAAAACTTGAATATCCAGAATTTCTTGATACCCAACGTAGGATTAGTAGTATTCAGAACAATGCAATATTTTTGAGATTTCATAACTCCTGCTAATTGAATAAAAAAATCCTTCCGAATGTAATGACGTTCAGAGACTTCAAGGTTTCAATTCTTCCAATTCTTCAAGAATGTTAACAATTAGAAGATACCGTAAATCCTGTACTAGAAGGGCCAACCCTTCTTATTTCTGTGGTATCTGTAGGAGGGCCCTTTGATTCTAGAGGCAACTCTAATAAAGGTATTTCAATTGAAATTTTTTTCAATTTCAAGTGCCTCCTTTCAATTTCAAGTGCCTTTTTAATACGGGTTTTACGGTTTTCCGTTTCTCAATATCCCAAAATCACGTGGTTCAAACTGTCATTTTGATCTTTGTTCTTGGCCAAACCATTTTTTTTCCCGGATGTATTAGTCATCACAATCTGTTTCAAAAACATTCATCATATCCCCAATCATATTTCTCTCTTATAGGTCTCAACACAATTCATGAGCGAAGCATTTTATTTTTTTCGTTTTGACAGAAAAAATTTGGGATGATTGTTCAATTCATAATTTTTTTTCGAAAATTTCTGAAGCATGTTTTACTGAATTATCCAAGTTTGTAGAGTCATGTAGATATTTCTAATACAAAAATACACTCAATCAGCACACTGAAAACTCAATTAACAAAACATTTCAAAGTGTGAAAGTAGAGATGAATCGAAAATTGGCGAAAACATGGCATTTTAGATGTATCATGATTCCTATTCATTGAAAAAGAATCCTTTCATAAGTATTGTAGTTCAAAGATTTCCTGTTGAGAATTCCAATTCCTTCAACTTCTCGGAAGTTTAACAATTATGTGACCGTGAAACCTGTATCAGAAGGACCAACCCTGTTAATTTTGTCAGATCTCTAGAAAGGTACTTTCATTAAAATGTCTCTCTGATTTCAGGGGCCGTTCTAATGTAGGTTTTACGGTATTTGCAGTTTTACTTAATGTTTTTATTTTTGATTTCCCAACATCCCAAAATCACGTGATCTGTAAACTGTCATTTTGATCTTTTTTCTTGACTGAACCATTTTTTTTCCGGATGTATTAGTCATAAAAAATTGTTTATAGAACATTTATCTATTCCATTCAATCATATCTCTCCGAAAAATTTCAACATGATTTTTGAACAAAGCATTTCATGTTTTTAATTTTGACAAAAAAATTTGAAATGATTGTTCAATTCTTTCATGATTTTTCGTAAAGCATTGCCAATTTTTGGGCGTATTTTTCATGCCTCCTATGCAAGGTGTCAGAAATGTGTCAACTAATCAAAAGTTTGTGATATTATGATAAACATCTTTTTGGTTGACACTTTTACTATAACTTTGATAGGGTCCGAGATAAACTGGCTCAAAGTTAAAGGATAGGAGACGGTTATATCACATGTTTAAAAGTATTCAAATTAACGGAAAATTTTCGATGTTCAAGAATTTCTTCTCATCATCTAATAGTTAGAAACATTTGAAAGTGTTGTAGTTTAGAGACTTCATGTTCCAAACTTCAATTCCGTCCACTCCTCCAATGATTTTTTTTCCCATTCCGTTAGGCACACCTTAAAGATTTTTCGATACGAAGGGAAGCAGAAAATGTTCTTATCAGAAAAAAGACAGCTTTTATGTTTCCAATTTTATGACTCAAACAACATTTTGACTTCTTTTTGGACTGGAAAAATATATTCGCAAAAAATAATTTGATGAAATTTTCCTCTCACATGCCATTATTTTGAAACAAATTGCGCAAACGTTTTTTTTTCTCCCTACATGAAATCGCTCCAGGCGGGCCAAAAAACGACGTTGTGTGTATTCCCCGTTATGGTGTTTGCACAGTGTTTGCGTTGAGGAGTGCGCACCTACCTCTTTTTCACTCCGCCAACGTCCCCGATTGTATGTGTTTTTTGTGTCTGTTCGTTGTCTTCGTTTGGGATCGTCAGGTCACTCCTGTTTCTTCTTCGCCGTCTCTGTCTCCTTGTCTTGCGCACTCTCTCGCCTCAGTATGTCCTCCTTTTGTTTGTTGCGCGGTAGCAAATTGATTAATGCAAACCAGAATAGTGAGAAAAAAGGCTACCGGGCTGTCTTATTTTAATTTTTGCTTCATTTTCTATGAATGTTTCTAAACATTACAATTTTTCACTGATAATTTGTGAGAAATATCCGTTTTGCTTGCAAATTCATTTTTTTTTCTGAATTTTTTTAATCTCTATTTATGCATTTTACACACTATGGGAGTAACCTATAGTAAATTTACGATTTTCAGCCTCAAAACTGGGTTCATAATATTAGACAATGGACGAAGATGAGGAATTCCAGCTGGCTCTTGAAATGTCAAAGTGAGTATAGTGTAAAAAGACAGCTGACAAGGTTGAAGGGCATTTTTCCCGTTTTTTTTTCTGTCTCTTTTCTTCTATCATCATGTACCACGATTTCAGGAAGACTTTCAAAGACGAGCAAAAGCTGAGATCGGCGAACTTGGATCTGATTCGTTTCGAGTCTCCAGACGAATCGGTACGGCAGAAGAAAATCAGACAGATCAAGCAGTTGTACGAGGGGAACACGTCGAGTCCGGGAACATCGTCGTATTCTGGGTAAGCTTTTTGGTTTGAAATGATGAGAATTAACATTTGGGTGATTTTAGAAGTGGCAAGGTTGTGAAATTTGATGATCAGCAATAAAATCGGTTTAAATAACTGAAAAATCCAGTTTTTTCAACATTGGTTAAAAACGATAAAGCTTAAGAAATTTAAAAAGTTAGAAAACGAATAATATCTGGCAAAAACGAAGTTAAGATATCGGACTTTTGTTTTCATAGCAATGAAATAGTTGAAATTTTTGAATTTACGACTCCCGAATTTTAGATTTTTCGCCACTAAATTGCTTCGTATTCCAATTACCCTAATTAGTTCAAAATTAATGAACCTCGGAACCATCCACCTGACAATCTGGAGATTTTACAGTAACTTAAGAATTTCAATAAACAGATCACCTGATGTTAGGAGTGAAAAAAAGCAATTGAAACTAAGTTTCATGGAGAATATATATTATAGCTCGTTTTGGAAGCTCTAAATTGTAGATTTTGACAAGTGGAATTCAAGATAGCCCCAATGAGAATTTTCTCCTACAATTTCATCTTACTTTATAGATCCGTTGCCACAAGCCCCACCGACTTCCGCCCGGTCTACAATGAACCACGAGGAGTAGGCCCACTCGCTCACTCCCAATCCTACCCACATAACTTCTTCAATCCGTGGCAAACAGCTCCGGCTGCACCACAGAATTCACAGTTCCCCGGACCGCCAAGACCACCGAAGCCAGATCAGTACAAGTTTCCACCACAGCCATCAATCGGATGTGAGTTGCAACTAGTAATTTTTCAAAAAAAAATGGCGTAATTTCAGTGATCCAAGATCAATATTTTGTGGCACCCCCGCCGCCTTTGCCACCGAGGCAGTCTCGAATTCTTCAAACTTCCCCTGTAAAAATCAACCCGAGTTCTCCGGTGTCGTCGACACCGTTGAGACATTCGGCACCGTCGTTCAGCCAAGACCAATTCTTGTCGCGTGAGTTTTGTCATTCTTGGGTTAAACACAATGGGACGAAAAATGCAATGTAGAACACGTGCTCCAAACTTGCTTTTTGAAAGGAAAAAAACACTGCGTTGAATTTTTTTCCGAACTGTGTCATTTGATAATTTTGAGAAGCGCGATAATAATATTTAACATAGGGATCAATGCAGCTTTTCGGATGACTGGGGTATCAGTACTACAGAAAACGTCGAAATGTATCTGGCACTAGAAAAAGCATCAAAAACCCACTTTTGTTGATTAAAATCTGCAGTTCATGCGCGGCAGAAGCCCATTTTTGCTTGAATAGTCGATTTTTTAAAGAATTCGTGATAAGATTTAATTTTTTGTATTTGCTGTAACAGAAGCCAATTCAACGCATCAATTTTGAGCTCAATCATCTTGAATTCTGCAATAGATGTCAAAACATTGTCAACAGATAAAATATTAGTGATGTTATCATTAATTAATATATCAGTTGACACATTTTTAAAATCTCTCACAGAAATTGAGATAATTGAGCTCAAAGTGGACGGCTTGGGTGGGTTTTGATTAGAACCAGTACGGTATAATAAAACTATGGGATAACATTTTAATGTTTCAGCAATCAAGCCGTTCGAGACAAGCTTCGACTCAACTATCGAGAATCCAAACGATAGTTCTTCCAATGACAGTACTCACCATGACCACAGCGTTCAGTACCAACCGTTAACCCATCTTCTCGTGCCATACGTGATGGAAAACTTGAACTCGTCATATGGAGCGCTTCTGGTCGGAGATCTGATCGATTTGAGTTGCAATGAAGACGCATCCATTGATTCTCAGCACGAGGTAAGACTTTTGAGGCGTTCTTCTTTTGTTCAATTGTTGATACCAATCAATGTATCGGTATCCTCACTCCCGATTATCTCCACTTCCTTTCACTATGACCACACAAGTGAAACAAAGTGACCCTCGGCCTAAGATAGGAAGTTTATCATTCTCCCCCTCTGCGAAACAAATTTAAATTGATTGGTTTTTTTTGTTTCTGCCATTTATTTCTCGTTCACATTAGACCCCTCTTTTAAAACTTGAACTAAAAGGAATTCCAATTGTTCTTCACATTAAGATTTAGCGTTTTCAAGTACCTAAAACTTTTTTGTAATGGTTGAAAGTGTGTTTTTACAGATCCGAAAAGAATTCGATCCGCTGTACGTATCTATCAATTCTACACTTTCACCGAATTCCTCTATGCCAGCTGTTCAAATCTATCATGCCAAACCAATTGAGGGTATGTTCAACTAACTTTCATTAAACCAAAAACTAACATGGTATGGTTTTTGCAGAACCAAAATGTGTGGAAGATGTGAAGCGAAAAATCAGTAGTGTCGAATTTCCATCGTCGTCGTTTGGTTTGATCGGCTGTCCAAATGCAATTGAGGAGCAGGTCAAGAAAATCTGCAAGCGGAATATGATCATGAGGGAGATGTTCCCGGATTTCTTCATTGCACCAACGGTGAACTACATGACGACTACAGCAAGTACAGTAAAAGTTGTGGTGTACAAAGACTACAGGTACGGTTGGGAAAAACAACAAAAACATAGAAAGGCAGTATTTGAAGTGAGTAATTGTTCTTTGCCCTATCTACAGTATTGGTCAATAAGATTTTTGGCCATTTTTAAGAGTCTGAAGCTTGACTGTCATATTTCCGATAACTTTGAAAACTTTGTATTTACATAATTCTTTTAAAAACTCCCAGTTTTCCAACTATTTGCCAATTTCTGAAAGATACCCGTTTTTTTGAATTTTCAATTGAAAAACCGGAAAAAAAGCGATGTTTTCAAAAAACGGCGAATAGTTTCATAAAAAGCTAGGATATGACGAGAAACTATTTGAATACAAAGTTTTCAATCTAGGTCTGTTTTACAGGCTCCAAAACTTTCAAAGTGATCAGAAACATGACAACCAAGATCCAGACACGTGAAAATGTCAAAATATCCAAGACTCAATTGAAAAATGCGTTTTTCGTTTTGAGATAATTTTCAAAAAAGGTTTGCGCAGATTTCTAGAAAATCTCAAAGGCTGAACGATACTTAAAAAATACGTTTCTAATCTGAATATACTCATTTCTACCCGGAATTCCAGACGATAATCGGAAAAAATATTTTGCTCATTTTGCGTCAGGATTTCCAAAAAAAAGTTGTTACCATATTTTTGGACACAGAACCAAAAAATTGATTTTTGGGAAGTCGTTTCTGCAAGCTAACATACGGCGAATAATTGAAAACTGAGAAATTTCAAAAAATCTAGATCTGTTTTACGGCCTTCAAAATTATCAAAGTGATTTGAAAAATGACAGTCAAGCTCCAGGCTCCTGAAATTGGTCAAATTGACCGAAACTCTACGGAAAAGTTATGTTTTTGTGAATCTTATTGACTAGTACTGTAGTTCTTCTCAACCACTCTCCTTTCGACCACCAATTGCCCAATACATAACCTACTATATTTTTAGTTTCAAACAAAATGACCGAAAAGGGAAAGCAATGATCTGTGCCATCGAACAAACAATGGACATCATCACCGCACAAGCTTTGTCCTCGTTTGATTGCTTTCTGGACGAAAATAAGGTTTATGGTCTGAAGGTCAGTTGGGCACTGCTACTATTAGCACTAACACAGTTCAGTAGCATTAGCTTACACTGTCTGAGAAAACAACAACAGGGAAAAGTGTGTTTCAAAGATTCCACTTTCGCGAAAAAACTTTTGTGTCGGACATAATCCGGTAATTTTGTAGAAAAAAGGGGTGGAACGTACGTCACTCTTGAGATTATGTCTTGCAGTAGCAACGGCAGCATCAGAAATCGTAGTTTATGCCAGGATGTTTCAGATCTACGGCTTGAATCAGTTTCTGGCAAAGGACAGCTTGCTGGGAACCAATTTGTACACTGGACATTGTTTGCTTAATGGAGAAGATGTGAAGTTGGAAGTTGGAATTTTCGAGCCACAGAAAAGAATCCACGAGCAGATTTTGGAGTCCTGGAATTCGATGAAGTGAGTGTAAACTATGAATTTTTTATCCTATTTTAATTGGTTACAGAAGTCAAATTCGATACTCCACCGTGGTTGACAAAGAAGACATTGAGAACACCTTTGGGCATTTGGCCCAAGAAATGAAGATGTACCAAATAGCATTCAATGATGGGTCCACTTTAAAATGTAGGTGTTTTGGATTTATTAATTAATGAGATATACAAAACGTACTTTTCAGCTGATTTTCGATTATTTTTGACTATTTTCAGAAATCTTGAGCTCGGTTATCAAACTTCCGATCGCTTTGAAAAATTTGGAAGCTGTAAAGCAGACCTCGATTAGAAATATTGCATTCATAGAATTTTCTGAAAAATCCTAGTTTTCAGCTATTTGCCAATTTCTGAAAAAAAAACCTGATTTTTCATGTTTTCAGCACGAGAACCTGCAAAAAAGTGTCTTTCTTGAGTTGGCAAATAGGTAAAAAAAAACTAGAGATTTTCAAACATTTCTGTAAATGCATTGTTTTCAAGCTAGAACTGCTTCACACCCACCAAAATTTTCGAAGTGATTGGAAGCTTGACAACCAAGCTCCAGACTTTTGAAAATGGTCAAACGGCCAAACATGAGAGATTTGTGTCAATTTGGGGTTTTTCGAGGTAGAGGTCACCGAAATTTCTTAAGTTTGTTATTTGTAAAAAAAAACAGCTTTGACTTCAAGGGTGAAACAAGTGCAAATCACACAATGGTAGTAAAATGCAAGCTGGAATATGTTAAGTTTCTTAACAATTTAGGTTGCAATGAAAGAAAAACCCGAATTTACATAATTCTCTCATGTGTGAAAATGACCAAAAACCTTAAAATTTTCTATATCTTGTTGATCAATACTGTAACTCAAAAAAATACCAAATTTCAGTGTCAGCATCATCCCAAAGGGTCAAGCAAACTGTCCAGCTACTTTGTAACAGCCTCCATCGAATCGTGCCAGAGAAACTCTACAACGAAATGCAAAAGTATCTGGCTGCCACCACGGAAGACCAGCTTAACAGTCATCGCAACGACTTTCTCCGTGAAATTCATTCATTTTTGGAGCTCTACTGCAGATGTACTGTCAGTGGTTACAATCTTCCTCCACTGCAAATCATCACAAAACCAAAAGTCGAGGTGTTGGAGAAGATGGATTTTCTTCAAATCATGCTCAACTCTGTACACTCGATTCCAGAAGACTGGCAAAGAGAATACTCAGAGTTTTACATGTCGGTTGATTTGTACTATGGAACGCAGGTTCTCGACGGACACAGTAACAAGATTCCAAAGAACATCAAGAAGGATCAGTTCTTCCCTCGTATTCCACTGGATCTTTATGTAAGCGTCGAAATTTTCTACATTAATCATTATCGACCTTTTTTTTCAGGCGAAATTCACTCGCCTCCACCTCTGTACATATCCACGGGAGACAAGAATTGTGGTATCGATCAGTGGAACTCTCAAGAACAGTGCTCAACCATCGAATGACTATAATCCGGTTGTCGTGATGTTGGGGTATTGCTCAGTGCCGCTGTATGATGAGCATTTGTGAGTTTTTTTTCTTTCCTTCAAAGTGTAATCCTGACCTTCCAGATACATGCGCCAAGGTCCCCTCTTCTTGCCATTGACTCTTTTAAAGAAGAATCCAATGCTCAAGCCATTCGGACCATATCCATTCATCAAAGACGCGCGCGATCCAATTTTGATCATTAGTTTCAAAGTCTGGGATACGGAAATCTTCTTCCCAAACGTTGTCATCGATTTGCAATGCATCCCACAAGACTTCTCTACACTCGACGTGGAAACGCAAGAGTATCTCATGGAGATGATCGAGAATCAGGATCCGTCACGATTGGAAGTGGATGATCAGGATTTGATTTGGCAGAAAAGAATGCATTTGACAAATCAAGCGGAGGCCCTTCCACTCGTTTTATCGTCCCTTCAAGATTGGAGTTTTGGATTTGTGGTGAAAGTTTATCAGATTCTTGAGGAATGGGCACCACTGAAGCCGGAGACCGCAATGGAGTTGTTGTTGCCACAGTGAGTTTTCAACTTCTAGAAAAATTAATAAGTTTTAAATGTGAAGAAATTATTAGAAAAAAGACGAAAACAGAGATTCAAGTATTAGGTTGGTAAGAAAGTTTCTTCCTTTTTGCCAGTGTCGTTTTTGACGCTCGATATCTGGTCATCCAAGTGGTTTAGCGAACCAATTTTTTTTTGTTGGAGAGCTGTGTTCAGTGTCTATAAGATACTAGATTTTCAAATTTTTATCTCTCTTCGTGTTGGAGAAATGACGATTCTTTCGGTCCTTATCCGACTGCACATTCGCACCATGATTATATTTTAAATTTGTTTTGGTCTTCAAGCACCTGGTATTCGCATACAAACAGTGGATGTATATAAGGGACATGTTTTGTCACCGCCTGCCATTAGCGTTTGGTTCGAGAAATTCAGCCCAGGAGAGTTCAGTTTGAATGATGGCAACAGACTGGTGAGCCTGGATCTATTTCAAACCACTCGTAAAATGTCAAAGGCATTATCCGATAGTCAACCAAGTATGGTGAACGGATTGAAGTCTCTTGGAAAAACCCAAAACTGGGTTGATTCGTACCTCATATTTTTAATGACTACGATATGAATCGCCATGTTGACATAAGCATGGTTCTCCTATCATTTCTTTGTACGTTCAGTTGGGTGAGGGATCTAATTACCATGGATGATACTTGGGTAAGTTACTCTACCAATGTGCGGACGGGTCAGTCGATTGACAAAAAAGAGCTAGCTCTGGACGTCCCGGAACCCAAATTTCCGGGAAAAATGAGTATGCTATGAGTTTGATGGTCGGTCAAAGTAATGTAGACCGGGAGCTTTTAAATGAAGATACCATTTTAACTGCCGCCTTGTAGAGTTCCTAATTAGAACAAGTAAGTTTGGCAGTGCCATAAAAACGAGGAGAAAAAACTAAAGTTCGCTTCCAGCACGACAGTGCGAGATGGCCCGTGACTAGAGAGGTCAGCCAAAAATATCATGTCGCCCGGCTGAACTATTTTTTTGCACCTGTCGTATTCTCTGGATTTCGCCCATTCGGATAAATGATCGTTTGGAGCTCTCAAGCGTCATCTTGATAGAAAACATTTCAATTGAAAAGATGACCCCAAAAAGGAGTTTCTCATTTTTTCAATTGCAGCCCTCGTCGTTCTGGGCCGATAGAATCGAGAAATCACCAGAGCGTTGCCAGACAATTTGATGCTAATGGACATTACTTTCATAGATCTAGCCCCCTCCGCATTGAAAAAAATTCGTACATAATTTTTGCGAAAAAAGAAAGAAACTTTCTTTCCAACCTAATACATTCAAGTTAGTTAACAACAGCTATCAAAAACTTCACAACGTTCAGTAAGATTAATAAAACATACAAAAACAAATTTTTGAGTTGATTTCTTGCCAATTTGATGGTTTTCAAAAGCCTGTAGCTCGAAAATTATTTTTCGGATCATTGGAAAGCCATTGGAATAGCCGAGCTCCAGGTTCGTGAAAATGGTCAAAAACTGAAAAAAGTTGAAAATTATGTTTTAGTGTATCTTATGGACCGGTAATTTTTATGTAAAATCAGTAAAAATGGAAAACATAGATTCAAAGTCCTGCTAGTCATTAAAAATCCGCTATCAGAAGCGTGTTAAGGCATACATGCATGAGATTTAGGCCCTAAATAAAAGATGAAACTTCCATGCCATCCGGTTACTCAAAAATTCTAACTTTATCATTTTTGTGCTTTTTTTTCTAAACATGTGTTGTTTTCCGCAACAGCCGCAGTTGCGCGTCGCGGTGTGTGCATTTAATGCTACGACAATTCAGCTTTGAAAATATTTTAGGTTCATTTATTGATAAATCTCACAGGTTTTAAATTAAAATTTCGAGAAAAAAACATCTCAAAAATATCTACCCATCAGAAATCCTATTTTATAGGTACCCCGATGAACGAGTCCGTGCTTATGCCGTTCGATCGCTTGCCAGAGGCTCCACTGATTTCCTCTACCACACAATCCCCCAAATCATCGAGGCTCTTCGATTTGAGCTTTATGAGAAATGTGCACTTGCCGACTTCATTTTGGAGCTCTCTTTTGTCAGCTTGGACTTTACTTTTGAGATCTATTGGCAACTACAACAGCGGGTAGATCATTGCGCAGTCGATGATCTTCCATATGCCATTAGATGTCAAAATCTGCAGCAAAAAATCATTGACGAGCACAAGAGTCAAGATTTGAAAGCGGATATTAAGTTGCAACATGATTTGTTGAACGAATTGGATTCGATTCAGGATGAATTGAGAGCGAAATCAACTGACAGCGATTCTGACAGACTTCACCGCCTAAAACTTCGACTCGGTCGCCTGGATTCTCAATTATTGACCAAACGAGTCCGTCTTCCAATTTGTCCTGCATTCGATTGCACTGGAATCCGAGTTGATGAGTGCAACATCTTCAATTCGAATGCGAAGCCACTTAAAATTGTGTTCCGAGGACTCAATAAGAACTACTCTATTATTCATAAAGTAAGTTACATTCTATTATATTTCCTGAAACAAAAAAATCAATTTCAGCGCGACGATGACATGCGGCAAGACTCATTTGTATTGAAAATGGTGAACGAAATGGATCGCATTTGGAAAACCAATGGACTCGACCTCCGCATGATCACATTCCGCATCATGCCAGTCGGATATCGCCGTGGAATGGGAGAGCTCGTGTTGAACTGTGCGACACTTTTGGAGATTCAGAAGGAAGATGGGCTACGCGGTGTTCTCAACGATGAAGTGCTCCGAAAATGGCTCATCAAGCACAACAGCGATGAGTTTGCCTACAAGAATGCGCAGGATAATTTCATCAGATCTTGTGCCGGATGGTGCATTGTCACTTATGTACTGGGGATTGGTGATCGGCACAACGACAACATCTTGTTCACGAAGAACGGACACGTTTTCCATATCGATTTTGGAAAATACATGGGGGATTGGCAGATGGCGGCTGGTTTCAGAAGGTGAGAAAAATGTTTATCTCTCCGATTCCATGTCGGCATATACCGGCTGTTCACTCGCCTCAAAATTCGAATTGTGGTGGTAACAACATATCAGATGCAACAGCTCGTCAATCTCTACACTTTCCAATAAGAGTCGATTAGTATTTGAATCAGTAACTGGGCGTTGAGGCGGGCAAAAATCATCAGCTCGGCTAAAAATGCCGACCCGGACCACAATACCGCTCTTCAAGCCGGTCTTTTCTTATTGGAGATGTTATAGCTCTCTGAATTTTTATAATCTGGCATTCTAATTTGCTCACAATTTGAGTTTTGAATTGAGATAGACATGTCGACATGTATGAGAAATATTGGAACACCAGTTACTCTTTTTTTGCAGAGATCGAGTCCCATTCGTTTTCACAACCGAAATGTTCTACGTGATCAACGGCGGAAAGTCACCAACTCAACAATATCAATTGTTCATCGACTACTGTTGCCAAGCGTTCAATCATTTGAGACGCAATAAGAACGTTCTGACCAATCTGCTGAGGATCGTGAGTTGTTGTTATTTGTCGTTGATTTCCACGAGCCTAGAGATGGCAACGGGGTTCCCGCACAGCCCCGACCCGGAGATAACCCATTATGAGTGACTGACTGAAACAATTGACTTGTAACGTTTATGTTATCACAGTTTTCGAAGATTAGGTTATTTTTATGTTTGCGATGCAATTTGTAAACTAAGAGAGCAGCGACTTAGCCTCATAGCCAACCCTATAAAAATAAATATCTTACAGATGGCTTGCTCTGAAATCTCTGGAATCAATCCGAGCTCTCTTGCATTCGTCGAGAAAAATCTAATGCTGGATCTTTCGGAAACCGACGCCACTGTCCAGTTCACAGCCATGATCCAAAACTCGTTGAACAGCTCTTCGGTCCGTCTGAACTTTGTGGCTCACACTTTTGCACAGTTCATGTCGTCAAGTTCGAGTTTCGCAAAGCAAGATCCACACAAGCTCAGCTTCGTTCCTGAATTGTTTACGTAAGTTTGAAAAATAAGAGATCTCAAAAATAATTTTTTTTTAATTCAGCATGAAAACTGACGGACGAATTTCGAAAGTGGTTGTTGTCACTTTTGAGAAACACTGTATTCCAAACAAGATTTATGTAAGTTTACAGAGTGTGAAATATTTTGAATCTTTTCAATTTCAGATGTACAAATTAGAAGTCCACCGTCGAAACGTCACTGTCCCATCGTTTATCTACCGGTCGTTTGCAGACTTTGAAGAGCTGCATAGAAAGTTGCGAGAGAGGTTCCCGGCCATGGTGTTGTCTTTGAACACCACTTCCAACATGCGGTCAAATGTCAGAGCCGTTGCTCAGAAGAGAATGATCCATGTGCAGCAGTTCTTGATCTACTTGTTCAACCAAGTCGACGAGATTTGTCATGTGAGTTTTTATTCTGTTCATTTTTGAACAGAGGATAGGGTTCACTAGAACTGACATTGAGCAAAGATTGATGTCATAATCATTAGCTTGTGGCTTAAATTCTCATAAAAATTTACGATTTATGCCGTTTTCACTGGTTAGCACAAATCCTGAAAAAAATAGTTTACAATGACCTACCAAAAACAAAGATACCGTATTGCCTCTGAAAGAAACCCACCCAAACTGTCAACTTCGAGCTCAATTATCTCAGTGCCTGTTACAGACATCAAGCAATTGTCAAATGATAAACTATCTATTATAATATCACCAATAATCTATTAGTTGTCAAATTTTTGATATCTTTTCGAGGAAGAGAGATAATTGAGCTGTAAACGACTATAAAAGGAATTACGGCATTAGGATATTTTTGAAATTGCTTCCTCATTTCCAGTCGCCTTTTCTGATAATTTCATGATTTTCAAATACACTTCTTTAAAACAACGAATCAACTAACTCTCTTTTTTTGTAGTGCGACCTCGTCTACACATTTTTCCATTCGATCCTGCGTGACAACAAGTGTGACACCTACGTGGATCACTCTGGAATTGCTCCACCAGACTGCCAAGTCTTCTTGAAGCTCCAACACAACAGTGTGAAGAACACGCTCAACGTGTTCGTCGGTTAGTGTTTGTTGAAAGTATTTATAAAAAAATTAACATTCCTTTCAGGGCATGTGAAAAATTTGCCACTTCTTCAAACCGGTCAACCTCCGGATCCATACGTCAAGATGTATATCCGACCAAATTTGCAAAATTTCCCGAAGAAGAAGACAAACATTGTCCGCGATACTCAACATCCGACTTTCAACCAGGAGGTAAGTACTAAAGCTTTTGAATAATTCAGTTTGCTCGCCGCAGAGCAGCTGAAATGTTTAGTTTCCCAGATTTATAAATCAGCATATAAGTGTAAGAAAGATATGTATTTCAGTTCACATACGAAGGATTCCCAGCCGATATGCTGAATTCTCGAGTTCTAGAAGTCGACATCTGGAACAGCTCTGGAATTCTTGAGAAACACAAAATGTTCTCCATGTGCATCCCCCTCATCAAGCTGTACCAAGCGAAGGAGTCTCGGAAATCGCAAAGAGTCGTCGAAGGATGGTTCCAATGCTATAAATATATTTAATTTTTTTGCATATATTTGTAATTACTAAAGTCAGTTTTCCCTCTCTTTCTCACGTGTCTCTAGTCATCCCCGTTAATTATGTGGTAGCTAAACTTGATTGTGATATTTGAATTCGTGTAAAATGAACCAATTGAAAAGATTCTTTTGTGCATTTTTCTGTTTTCTTTTTTTCAGCGTGGTTTTTTTCTTTTTTTCAGCGTTTTTTCAGCATAAATAACATGAGAAACTTTGCGATGGTCATTGAAACCGCAACCTCAACCTTGGAGAGACAGGGGGAAAAAAAAGAGGAAACAGAAGAGAACTGATTTGGTCGTCCGCAGAAAATTCCCGCCAAAAAAACGCTAATGATTCAAAATTGGGCATTGGAAGAAAATGGAAAAACTCGTTATTTTTTGTTTTCTTTCCATTTCCTCTCTTTTTTCGAATTGTTCCAAGTTTCCCTCAAACTTTGAGAAATGGTGGAGTCGGTGTTTTTTTGTGAATTTTTTTTTTCGAAAACTCGCTGTCCCAAAAGAAATTGAATTATTTGAATTAGGGTCAATTTCCAAAAAAAAATAATTTGAAACCAATGGAATTTCGTTGGCCATCCCTATTGTAAATTTTCTTTTAAAAAAAATTTCAAAATAAGAAAATTTATATTACGCTTGTCCGAAATAAATGATTTTTCAAAGCGTATATTTAGTTAAAATTCGTTTATCCAATGTTATTCTTTTTACCTTGAACGCTCTAATAAAACGTCATCCGGACTGTTCATTTTGAGCCTATATATCTCATTTCTTTTGAAAGATATCAAAAAGTTGTAAACTGATAAAAAGTTTATCGTGATATCAACAACATTTTATCAGTTAACTATTTTTTGATATCTCTCATAGAAAACGAGATACATGGGGTCAAATTTGACGATTCGGGTGGCGTTCAATTAGAGTGTTCACGGTATTTTTTTCCCGTATGGTCTTTAAACTTTTTGTAAAAATTTATTTCAAAAAATGCTTTTCGTTAAACTCGCTAAACTTAACATTTTTCCGTGAAAATGGAATTTCTATGAATTTTTTTTCCCGGACCTGGGTTTGTTGAATTTGAAACAAATAGCTTTGTATTTAATTGAAAATTCATTGAAAATACGTTTTTGTTTTCTTTCTTCATGGTTTTCTGATTTGTTTGTTTGAACATTTATTCATAAGTCTCGTTTGTATCGTAAATATTTTTCCAAAAACAAATCTTGGGGTTTTTTTTTCAAAACAAGGTTCACGTCATTCATTTTTTTTTGATTGAACACTTTTTGTATTTGAACCAAAAAAGTAAATCCTCCTACTACACATGTTTTCCGCTGGCACTCTCCATCATTGTCACTCTTTCCATTCCAAAAGTGCCAATTACCTTTCCCACCGCTCTCTTTCTTTCCCACGCTCTCTAACTCCCCAAAATCTAAAATCTCTTCTTCTCGGCGCTCGTGTGAAAAAGTACGAACAATATTTCGACAAAGAGACATAAAGAATGGATGAAGAGGAAAATGAGGAGGATGGAGGAGAGTAGCGGAAGAGGCCATGGCAACGTATTTGTGTGTGTGTGCAAATGGCAGATATGGAATGGAGAGCATGCGATTTTAGAACTAGTCGCTTTTTGATGTGTACACATACAGCACAAGACAACAAAGTTTAGCTCTTCCAACCCCTCAGTGCAGCTTGTTAGACTATTCCATATTAGACATCAAGCCAAAAATGTGTATGTCGTTTTTCCGTATCTCTCATTTTCCGCCTCTTCTTCTCTTTATTCCCCTTCTGCTCCTTCTTCTTCCCTTCCTATTTTCCAAGACAGCTTCATTCATCTAAATATATTTTTCATTCGAGAGAAAAAGAAGGATGTTTCCTCTCTTTTCCTTAGAAAAAATTCTTGTCTTCTGTGTCCCACTTCCCCAGAAAAATAGACGAACTGAATGTGGGCGAGGAACAATTTTTCTGTTTTCTAGAGTGCCAAATTTTGAATAGGAGTGGGTAGACTGAAGCGTGACCAGCTTTGATGAGCCCAGTTTCTGAACTAGTTGTCAAATAACTCTTTTGTCTCCTGACCTTGCGACTTTTAAACAAACACTGATCTCATAACTTTTACAAAACTTTCTCGAATGAATTTTTTCTCGAAACATGGGATGTTCATTTTGCCATTCTCTTGATTTTAATGTACGTATGTTTGTTCAGCATATTAATGCGCTTTTTTGTATTGTAAACACTTTGCGACATTCTTGAATTTTTTCTCTGTCTTATCACTATCATAACTTACAACTCTTCTTTTTTCCTTTCTTTTTTTGGCGAAATGTCAATCATTTTTCCAGAGAACTTAATGACAAAACCTCATTTTTCTTTTCTTACAATTTCAATTAATTACAGCATCTGGATGTCTCACGGCGCAAAATGCATTTGTCAAATCTGCACTTGCGGGTTGGTCATTGATCATTTATACCTTTAAAAATGGCTTTTTAGGCGGCACAAGTGTCCCCACGACAGAAATGCAAGTAGTTTTCAACTTGGTGATGGAAAATCGCATATTTCAGAGCGAAAAACTGACCAAAAGGTGAGAAAATTGTGAAAGTAACAATTTTACATATAAATTAGTCTTTCATATTTTTAAGCTGGTATTTATTATCAATTTTCTAACAAAAACTATTTTTAGAATGATGACAATACTACCTTTTTTCTATTATACGTCTATTCAAACCGTCATCTTTAAGCTCAATTATTTGGGTTCCTGTGAAATATATTAGAAATCTGTGAAGTGATGAAAAATTGGTAATGTTGTGATGAGTATTTTAGCAGTTAACAGATTTTCAAAATCTTTGGTGTCTTCTAAAAAATGTATTTTCAGAGCGCATTTGAATCATCAAACCATCAAAAGCCACAACGAGCCACACCCACACGTCATCAGTCAACAATATTATCATATTTTGTTGAGGAAAATAGCACCGGAACTGAAGGAACTCGAACGAAAAGTATAAAGTCGGCAGAATACAAAGGTGAGAAAGACACAACAAATCGTGGTAATGAAAAACGTTTGATTTTTAATACTCTTACAGGCGTACGTCATAACGGTGAACATCAAGTGGTGGAAGAAAAGCGGGAAACCCAAAAAGAGACTAGTCAGGTGAGCGGAAAGACCTGAGAATACAAATTGAAACACCAGTTGTACTTTTGAAAATTTTGGATTAAGAAACTTTGAAATGAAAAACTTGTCTGGCTAATTTATAAAAATAAATTTGAAGAACAAGGTTTGAATTCCATGATTTTCAAATTTTCAGCTCCCGCCTATCGAGAACGTTCGAGCTCAATCAGCTGGTAAAGAACGAAACAGCCGAACATCCATTCAACACGCTTTACAACAAAGTGAGGAACGATCCCATAGTGCTCGGCTATCGTCAGCTGAGAGATCGCGAAAACAAGAGACAGGAGGCAAAAAATCCGTGACCATCAATGAGCATCATGACGGTTATCAAAAATCGTATAGAAACTCGAGTCAAGTTTTTGAAGCACGAAGGCTTCACCAGGTAGGGAACATACAAATTATTTGAGAAAAATTGACAATGTAAAATTGCAGCAATCAGAGTGGAGAAGCAGCAGCAGTGGAAGTAGCACTTCTGTTGATAACAAAAAAGTGCATGAGACAAAAAGCGAAGAAGCAGAGAATATTGGTAATCGACTGATTTCTCTGCACAACAACAAACATCAAACGGTGAAGAATCAAAACGAATTGAAGAGAAATGTACCGATCACAATTTCACAATCTCACTACTCAACGGGAAGTCCTTCACTTTCTGGAAGAACTGATTTGGCCATCGCATCGAAACAATCCAATATTCAGAATGATTCTGGACATCGTTCAGTGAGTACCCAACATACGAGCAATCGAGTTTTGCAACAAGAGTCACTGCATTCGGACATGCGAACTCAAAACCAAGAGAATTTCATTTATCGCCAAGCCAAGAGAGAAACTCCACAAAAACCGAAAGACAACAGTATTTTCGAAAACCAATACCGGATGACGACAAGTAGCTCTTCGCAGAACAAAACTCAGAACCAAGATGACTTCACTCACATCAGTGGAGAACGATATGCCAAGAAAGTCCCAGCTGACAACAAGATTCTCCAAGGTGATGGCCAACAGTTCGAAGCCAAAACACAGAATCAAGAGGACTTCACTCACATCAGTGGAGAACGATATGACAAGAAAGTCCCAGCTGACAACAAGATTCTCCAAGGTGATGGCCAACAGTTCGAAGCCAGAACACAGAACCAAGAGGACTTTACTCATATCAGTGGAGAACGATATGACAAGAAAGTCCCAGCTGACAACAAGATTCTCCAAGGTGATGGCCAACAGTTCGAAGCCAGAACACAGAACCAAGAGGACTTTACTCACATCAGTGGAGAACGATATGCAAAGAAGGTCCCAGCTGACAACAAGATTCTCCAAGGTGATGGCCAACAGTTCGAAGCAAAAACTCAGAACCAGGAAGACTTTACGTTTGTGAGCGGAGAACGATATGCCAAGAAGGTCCCAGCTGACAACAAAATTCTCCAAGGTGATGGCCAACAGTTCGAAGCCAGAACACAGAATCAAGAGGACTTTACTCACATCAGTGGAGAACGATATGCCAAGAAGGTCCCAGCTGACAACAAGATTCTCCAAGGTGATGGCCAACAGTTCGAAGCCAGAACACAGAACCAAGAGGACTTTACTCACATCAGTGGAGAACGATATGCAAAGAAGGTCCCAGCTGACAACAAGATTCTCCAAGGTGATGGCCAACAGTTCGAAGCAAAAACTCAGAACCAGGAAGACTTCACGTTTGTGAGCGGAGAACGATATGCAAAGAAGGTCCCAGCTGACAACAAGATTCTCCAAGGTGATGGCCAACAGTTCGAAGCAAAAACTCAGAACCAGGAAGACTTCAAGTTTGTGAGCGGAGAACGATATGCCAAGAAGGTCCCAGCTGACAACAAAATTCTCCAAGG